ACGAAAATAACAAGACAGGCAAAGGATATAAACTCCAGCCACATACAAGACGACAATATAAAAATAAAATGAAAAAATATATATATAAATACCTGGGTGCAAACAGCAACTGCTCCAACTTGCTGAGAGAATAAAACAATCTAGAATATAGTCTGGGGAAAAAGTATACTATGTCTTTCAACATCTGCTAAAATCAAACTCAATGGCTCTAAAACTTATAGCACAACTAAAATAGATAAAGCCTTATTACACGTTTCCGAAAGTAAGAGTCTTACGATGATTCTTTGGACCCATCGGGGATACAAACAGTGGGGGAGGAGAGTGAGAAACAACAACGAAATTCATAATCTGTTTAAATCACCACTAATCACTGGCATCATGAGAGTTAATAGGTTGAAATGGCTGGGGCATACTGAGAGAATGTCAGATGACAGAGAGGTAAAAACTGTACACACAAGGGAGCGGAATTGTCGTAAACCACGAGGCAGATAAAGAAGACGACGGAGAGATGATATCCAGACAGACCTATAAACACTTGGTGTCACTAACTGGAAAAAGAAGGCCAACCAGAGAGATAATGGGGGCGGGTGATATCTGCAGCAATGAACCTCAAGGGCTCGAATTGTGAAGAAGTTGATAAACAAAAAGTGAAATCCTACTGCTGGCGACTGCAGTACACTGCGTGAAATCAATCAGTCTGCGTGGAGGTAGCAGACGGCTCTACGACAAACCACGGCCGACTCTATTCTGGAGAAGGCGGCGAACAAACAAACCTGCCTCCCTTCATGCATACAGTATTGATGTTTGTAAGGTAATTAAGGGAGCTGCTACTTGCTTGGTATAACTGCATTTAGTTTAGATCGAGGAATTGTACATTACCATGTCTCACACTAACTTTTTACTTTTTAACGTCCGCTCAAATCTTGCTACATGGGAGTGAAGACTGACAAGTTGTGTCTGTGTGTGGAAATAATTTGTAGAGAGAGGGAGACACGGGCTTCAGGGACGCCCGAATCTGAGAGCCTGGGACCTTGCATATTCTCTCCAACAATTGTTATGGGTGGGTCGACCGCCCGGCTGCCTTTGTGTAAGCGTCTCTGAACGACAGAAAACGAAAGATGCAGCACATGATGAATCCATAAATAAGATAGGATGATCGCCTATACATATTATGGCGGCCAAACAAATACCCGGTACTCCTGTCAAATCCGGACGAAGAATAAAAAGCCTTGGACGACTTAGAGTTCTCTCCCTTGGCCGCACTGCAAACAGTGATCGGAAAAGCCAACGAAACAAACGACACACGCAACATGGCAGTTAGACTCACTCACATAACTAACATCTTTCTTCCGACGCACGACTTAGTTGCCGGGAACGACTATCGTGACTGACGCTTGGCGAGGCTACAGCAACGTGGCAAACTTACGGCATGGCATCTATCTGCACGAGGTAGTAGTCCACCAGACCAACTTCGTTGACGCCGTACACAGTCACATACACACACAAACAATTAAGGGCCTCTGGATGCTGGTCAAACGCACAATTCGCCAACGATTGGGCACCAGCCGCACACTATTGGCGTCATATTTAGCAGAATTTCAGTGGCGCCACGCCCACAAACATCAGATTGTCGGCCAGTATTTTGAAACCCAACGTCAAAATTTTCACATCTAACCCTAACCCTAACCCTACCCCTAACCCTAACCCTACCCCTACCCCTAACCCTACCCCTAACCCTACCCCTAACCCTACCCCTAACTCTAACCCAACAACCGCATGATGACTACACAACCATTCACGATGCCTCATGCAACCATATGATGACCACACATCCCTTCACGATGCCTCACGCAACCGTACGCAGCCCTACACGCAACCGTATGATGATAGGTAAGTGTGTCGTTGGCTTTTCCAATCACTGTTTGCAGTGCGGCCAAGGGAGAGAACTCTGACTAAGTCGTCCAAGGCTTTTTATACTTCGTCCGGATTTGACAGGAGAGCCAAATACCCTAACGTAACAGGGCCTCAGTCCTATGCAAAAGCGGATTTCCTGTCGAGGAACAAATCGCTGCAAAACTAGGATCGGCTCCGAATAACGAAACAAATGCTCTAACAGGGTCTCAGCGATATGTTAATTGCAGACCTATTTCTGCGACTGTGCCGCCGCACCGCCGACAGAATCCCCCACACCACTACATGCAGCACTGAGGGGGAAAGGGGAGGCGGGGGGGGGGGGGGGGGGGGGGGGGGGCTAAACTAGATGGTTGGGACTCATGAGCAGCAGCTACTGCATCTTCTGCAACTTCCTCTAATTTATTTGCTCCTGAGTCCCAGTCCGAATTTTACATACGAATGAAGCCCTGTTAGGGTATTTGTTTGGCTGCCATAATATAGGATAGAAGTTCGGAGGAGAGCCCAAAAGGCACTTGATGAAAGGTGAGAATACCAACTCCTTTCACCCCCATCCTTTCTTCCCAAATTATTTTCATAAAATTTCTGAAAAATATCAGAGATCCCTTATATAAGACTTGGCTTCCCCGTGTGGGTTCCCGGGTCCCATTGTGGGGGAAAACCAGGTCATGCCGGTGAGTTACAAGGGGATCTGGCCGCACTCAGGGGAAATACGAGATGGATATACATTCAGACATTTACTGGTACCATCAGAATTTTAACTCTTTGCTTGCTGCTGAAGATGGGGACGGAGTGCTTGTGGGGGTGTTCCGAGTGCTGTGATGTCGATTCTTAATTCAACATTCAACATTGTGGGGGAAAACAAGAATAGACCCACTGCCTCCACAAGAAGTATATCGTAGGAGTGGACTAATTGGGAGCTTCCTTCGAAGTCGGAGTACATCTGCTGGAGCGGCAAGGAATAACCAACTGCACAAATAAGTCCTGCGTGAACTTCCCTGTTGGACCAAAATGTTCTTGCAAGGCAATGAGGGCTTGATAGTGGCTGTATGTGTACCCGCACTGACTGGCAACATTCACGACTAGCGACACCTGTCACACACAAATACAGAAACTTAGGTCCTGGCACAAAGCCAGAGTTCAAATGGGCAAACAACCATGACTTTCTGCCAGAGCTTACAGTTGGTGAACAGAGAAGAAGAATATAAGATTGAGGTGACCCAAAAACTGGTTTGTCAAAATTAAAATATGGGATACTTTTTTTTTTTACACCATTAGATATACTGATATGTACAACTTCACCATAGCCGGGAGAATGGATTATGAAGATTTTTGAACAATCAACCTTATAAATCATATTACCAAACTTATGCTAAGAATTGTAATGAGAAGAACCAGAAGTAAAATAAAGATGGAAATTAGTCAAGAATAGTGACATAAATACCCTGAGAACACTTATAGAGATCTACTAGAAGCAACTGAACAATGCATCTGTGAAAGAAACCCATGACTTTCAGAAAATAGCTTGATCATTTCGCCACAGGGACCCCCAGTAGGCAAGCCATAACGCTACTGCAGATCCCTAGAACTCTGTTGTCATAAAATAATGGAGAAGGAACCCGGGTCACTGTTCTAGCAATGCAGGCCTCTAAACATCTGCCACCATGAATTAGGTATCTGTCTTATTTCACCATTTCTGTCTTTAGGCTGATGTTACCTAAGAGCAGGAGCTCCAGATACAGTCAGATGTTCCATTTAATACGTTCTTTCCCCTGTACTAATTAATTAACTTTCAACCTGCAAATGTTTAAGGAAAAAAGATTTTGAACCCATGTAAATGTGCCAGAAACAAATTCTTAGCAAAAACAACCATTTGACACAGAAAGCTAAAAACCATTTGTTTCAAAAATGTCTCTGCTTTTTAAATTTTTGTGTGTGGAGGAAATATTTACATATATATAAAAGAGATAACCAGTAAACATGAACATACTGAAGCATTAAATGGAACACATTCCCTAGGGCCTAAAAAAAATGTATCGGGTGACTGATGTCGTGACGCATGTGGGTACTTTGACATGACTTTGACATCAATTTGTAACCCTTTGAAAATAAAGTTTGTTCGTTCGTTCGTTCAACTCAGCTTTAAAAAAGCCGCTGGAGTCATAAGGCTCCCCCACCCCACAATGCTATTTTTAATGACTACATTAATATCCTGGCCTGTTAAACACTACACAGGAGCACATATAGACAGTCCGATCAAAATGGACGCTAGGCAGGGGCACTGTTTGAGCCGAGGCAAATTTTTTGCTTCTGCCGGACGGTGGCCGATGCATTTTTGCTCCATTTGTAGACTGGATATAGTTTCGTCGCCAAGCTTCTGAGTTGAATGAATGGCATGACACTGTGAGCTGCAGATTTCATTTGCAATGTTTTTTTCGACTGTGACCAACGTGGTGGTGTGAATTGTAGATTCAGAAAATGGTGCGATGCCTGTTCTCACAATGTTGGTGGTGCCCGTATGTGATTAAAATTGATCGCGTGGGCAACTGCTGATTTGTTGGTGACTTCTGCTACCATCAATGATGAACTGCATTTCTAATGTCGGACTGTTTGTGTTAGCACTTTGGATGGCTACTGTATGCTTTAATGCGTGTGTATGCTAGATATCCTGAGACAGCAGTCTGTCAATCTGTCCACAAGGGACTGTGATAAACATTCTGTGTGTTTTTCGTTGGCACAGGAGCGGAGCAAAGATGAGTGACCTGTTTGCTATGAAGCTGAAACTAAGACTACCAGACATATAGCCAACGAAATTTAACTACTATTTTCAAGAACAGATCACAGCAGACGTGAAGATATATCAGCATTTTAAGGACTAATTCACAACAGTCGAGGAGTTACTGGGTTGAGTATTCTTGGGGTGGCAGGGTTAAAGTAGTCTCTAACCAGCAGACTTACAATTATTCTTTACAGTGCTTCTCTACTTGATGCAGTCAGAGGTAATTTCCACTCTGATTGTTTTCTAATTAGGAATTAATTCTTTCCATTCTAGTTGCCAGCACTAAACAGTGACACCTGACAGCTGCAGAATGGCAAGTGCTGTTAACAAGAACAAATGTTTACTATTTGTCTTGTCTTTGATGCAAGTCTGGTACCTTGGATCCTGTCAGGCTAGCAAGACAGCAGATCATCACAGTGATTTCTATTCTTATAGTGTATTGGACATCTCAGGCAAACATGTCCCGCTTGAAGCATACAGGGGAAAGGTAAAGGCTTCCTTTTCTTCATTCAACATGTATTCTTTGTTTTTGGATGTAACTGTTTTTTTGTTCTTTCATAGCAAAGCTGCAATGTTTGTACTTCTTAGTCAACATATTTAACTTCTTCAGGCATTTGTGTACGTTTTTAGCTTCTCACGATAAACATTCCAATGATTGCAATGCTGCAGTAATTTTGCATTGAATTTCTCAACTGTAAGGCTTGTTTTGGAAATGAAGAATGCTGGGAAAATTATGGGTCATAGCATAACAGCATATGAAACTTTAGGTTACATTATCAAAACTCACTTTAAACATATATTCTTTTGAATTCAGGTGCAGTTTGTTAAGCTGGTATTTTTGTTTAATAATTATCAGTAATAAATCTTGATATCTTGGACAAAATAGGGAAGGGCGAGACGGATATACAATCAAACAGTTACTTGTACCATTTGAATTGGAACTCTTCGTTTGCTGCTGAAGGTGGGGACGGAGCAATTATGGGAGCATCACGATTGCTATGATGTTGATTCTTAATTCAACATTCAACAAAATAGGAATATCATTTAAAGTATTTTAATCATAGAGCGTGGAAGCTCATAGCAAAAGCGAATGGACGTCACTTAGTACAGCAGAGCCTGGCATGTGATATCACAATGTCTCGTTTGAGAATGGAGGTGGAGGCAGTCACTGCTGCCTTCCGCTGGCTTGAGAATCAGCCACATGTCGTAGTTGTAACAGGTTATACCAGTGTGTTGGGAAATGAGCAGCCAGATAGACTTGCCATTTATGCACCACTAGGTGGAGAATTGATGTATGACAAACTAGATGTTGTGAGGGCCCTTTGGGAGCGAGTAAACAGTGCAGAGGCACAAATAGGTTATTACGATCTGAGGAGAATGGCGCTGCAAATATTCTGGTAAGAATAAATGCTATGATACTGACCATAACACCCATTAAAGTTCAGTGTGTCTGTAAACTATGGAGTAAGCACCATATATCAAGTATATTCAAAGGCATAGAAAAAATGTCTTTTTAAAAATTTAGTTGCTCACCCAGAGCAAATAGGTCATTGTGGAAACCATCTCAAACAGGGTCTGGTATGTTTAGCTCTAAATGTATGCCAGCTGAAGGATAGCTGTTTGGGGCTCTCTGTGGTTGAGCATTGTAACAAAAGATAGTCATTTTATTTTGCTAATGAAGATCAACTAGCTGATTGACTCTTGACATAGAAATTATATTTATTGTTTTATAAAAGAAGTTTTTTACATAGAAATAATAATACTTTTTGTTTGTTTGTTGAGAAATGAAACTTTCAACGTGCAGGTGTTAATTTATTTTCATTGAAACATTTATATATATATTTTTTTTAGTTGCTAAGCCATTATATTACTTGTCTTATCGGTGATACTTTCTTGGCATCCAAATTATGCTTTCTAGACATGGAGGTTTGACTTTATCTTTCTGTATTTGTGTGTGACAGGTGTCGCTAGTCGTGAATGTTGCCAGTCAGTGCGGGTACACACACAGCCACTATCAAGCCCTCATTGCCTTGCAAGAACATTTTAGTCCAACAGGGAAGTTCACTGTCCTGGCCTTTCCTTGTAACCAGTTCGGCAACCAGGAGCCTGGGGTAATAAGCACATTGACTGTGGTTTTATATGTTTGTTTAACTAGAGGATTTTTATTTTGGTGCTTTATTTTATTTTGATGTAACTTCCTAGTGGTCGTTGTCTGTGGCTTAGGCGTTGAAAACACGCTTTGTAATGGTGAGGTACCAGGTTTGAACCCAGCTGCAGGCGATTCAGCAGCATTGGTTTTGCATTTGTTTTAACAGTGGTATACCGAGCTGACCTTCCAGAAAGCAATGCAAACTGCTGGACGTAAATTTGCCTTGAAATGCCACAACAGCCAAAAAATGCTGTGTTGGACCTGCAGCATCCTGTAAGGGATACACAGAAAACTAACTTCCCAGGGATGCACCTGATGAGATACAATGAAATATGCCAGATCCATGATGAATAATTTATTATTATTTTTATTATTTTTAACAAATACAATTTGTTGATGGTGTGTGTTCGACTATGTCATTAATGCAATTTGTGTGATCCATTAGTAGTTTCACTTTTCTTGTAACAGACCAATCAAGAGATCAGGATGTTTGCCACGCACAGAATGGGTGCCAACTTTCCTTTGTTTGCAAAAGTGAATGTGCATGGACCAGAAGTATCTCCAGCATGGAGTTACTTGACCAGTAAGTCAGTAGCCTGCATTTGGTTCCTTGTCTCTTCCCATTACCTTTAACAAGGATTCTCAACTAGTGGTCCCAGGACCAGATTTAAGGAGATTGTGATATCATTTAGAAGAAGGGGAAAAAAAAAAACCTCAACCCACTTTTGTTTTGTTATTCTAAATACAGATTCCTATTTATTTTTATTTGTTTCAATCGGACTGTTCAAAAGTAGGATACAGTTTGCTCATAGAATTTCTTGTTTTTCTTTTCTAGTCCGACAAAGCTAGATATCATATCTGACTGGCCACAGAAGGTTCCCAAATACATAAGACCCAGGTATGAACCAAGTAACATACCATTGAAACTGCTTTCTATTGTACTCACTGTCATCTGTTTCTACATGCCTCTGCCTCTTGTGAAGGTTATTTCTGTTCATTTCTGAATGTTGGCAGACCAGCTTATGTTTTAGTCTTCCCCTTTTTCTGTTTAATAGAACTGTTCCAATCAGAACATTGTTCCACCACCCAGTTGACACTGTCACATGTTCAGATCTTTGTGGGTTGCATGCTCTTACAGTTGTCGAGAGATGGTTTTTTTGCCCTCCCACCTGATGCTGTTACTTCACACCGTCATTTTGTATGTGATCTTTCTGTGTTATCTTCAGATAGTATCCTTATCTTCTTGCACATTAGCTGGAGGCTCACTTGCTGGCCTGGAGATCTAGGGTTCAGATCTGCATCGAGACAGATTTTCTTTTCAAACCTGATCTTGGCTCCCTGGTCTACCCAGCCTAAAATGAGTACCAGGTAAAGTCCTAGAAAGTAAAGGTGGCCGGCGTGATATTGCCCAAATCACCTAATCTGTGCTAATTGGTCTGTAAAAATATAGGTCTAACACTATCTGCCTGAATGTGAAAAAAGTCTTTTACTTTTGAACAAAAACAAAAAAAACCTTGTGATCACTGTGTACCTTGCTGGATGGCATAGGCATTCATATTGGTTAACAGATCTGGATCCTTGGTGTTCTAAATCAATTCTGTTATGCCTCCATGCCACCATCTCAAACTATCCAGCACTATTTCTCTCAGTCCACCTGTGACCATTCTGTCACTCATCTGTTCAATCATCCTAGTGTTGTCCAGTTCCTATCTTCTGATCACATCACTGGAGACACTATGTCACTCTTATTGTATACATTCAGGTCGTGCCAGATGATTATTGTTAGTTACTCTTGTTATCCAGGAAATCTGCACCATTTGTCTCTAAAACCACATCCCTGCTGCCTCCAGGCTCTTCGTTATTAATGTTCTTATACGTACATACAAATATAGTCTCCATATGCTATGAGTATACCAGGAAACTTAAAAAGAAGTAGTAGAAGGACAAGTAACCTTGAAACATAGGCAGGTTTAGTTAAATTTAAATGTACATAAGGTACATTCTAGAAGTATTTATTTGTAGTAATCCTTTACAAACCCATTTTGTCTCTTTATCTGTAGCACGTTCAGGTCATGTGCCCACTTGGAATTTCTGGAAATATCTTGTGGATCACAATGGCCATGTACTCCGGGCCTGGGGTCCTTCAACAAGTCCTGACCAGTTGTATCCTGATATTGAAGAAGCCATAAACAACATAGAGCAAGATCAGAGCAACTTCAGCCATGATGGATCAAAGGATGAGTTCTAGGTCTTGGAGCCACCAAGCAACTGGCTCATCCCATGGATAACAAAAAAATGGAATGAAGATATTATTGTCAGTTCATGTTGTTTTGTTTCTGGTACAAAGGCTCATTGCTTGCCTGTAGTTTGTATTGTCTGATGACAGTCTGAAGATTGTTTATGCCACAAGCTGGTGCTTCTGTATACATTTCTTCTTTATCGGCAGGTACAGTCATTGTTTCCTGGATTTTGATTACGTTAATTGCAGATCTGTTGCTAGGATAAATCCTTGTCCATGCTTAAAATGGAATAATATTTTTAGGAACATACACTGGTACTCCCGGTGCATTTGTGTTTGTTTTTTAAGTTTTTTCCGCCCATGTTTTATTTTAATGTTTGAAGACATGTTTTAGGAGGGAGGGTAAAACCAACCTCAAGTGTTCCACAGAGCCATTTGTGACCCATGTGTCATTATATAAATATATAGATCTTTCATTTTTGTGTGAAGTAGTTTGTGTCTCTAACCTGTGCAGTGCCAGTGACTGCCAGTCTACTTGTATATTTAATTACTAAGTGTAGGCTCTGAAATGTAAAGATTGACAGGCACATCTCTGGGACTTATTTTATTGCAGGTACTACCCCATGGTCCCAACCTTGAATGGGTAAAGTCCTGGGAAGTAGAGGCAGCTAGCAAAGGTCATTTACCTACCCCAGGGTCAGATTTGGTGGAGAAATGTTCTTCAGTAAGTTGAAGATTTGTGGCCATGTCCGTGTGGTCGAGTGACTTAATTCTTTTAAATAAGTCAAGTCAATCATCTCTTTTCACACCATGGGGCCTATTAGGCACATGGTGCTAGTCATATGTTTTAATTTTATCCTCTCACCCAAGTAATGCTTAAACAAATGCTTTAAAAACTTATTTAAAAACAACAATTTTACACAGGTCTCTAGTAAATCATTTTAAAATGCATTTATGTTCATTTTTTTTTTCTAAATATATAAAGGTATATAAAGGGAATAATCTGTGAACATGAACAGAGTGAAACAGTGAATGGAATCCATTCTCTGGGTCCAACAAATATATGTATCGGTTGACTCTCATAATGTTTTACTATATACAAAATGTCCTGTATTTTAGAAAATATATTTTTGAGTTTGTTGGACCCTGGAACAGATTGTTTTCAGTGGAAAAAATTGCCTTGGAACTCAAACCATTTGGAATTTGATCACCCTCTGAGAACGGATTATGTCTGAATTCCAGGGTACCACTGTATTCCAATTTCTTGGTTCTTATTTTTAGTTAATTGGTGTGGAAGCCCAAATCATTTTTAAATCTCACCTTGATAGGGATTCACATGTCAGACCACCAGTCCAGTAGGCAAACGGGCTACCTACTGGGCCTGTACAACTCCCCCATATCACAGTGGCCCATGTATAATGTTATCTTGGCCTGGTGGTGGTACTTCGACTTACATAGTTGTAGTTACAGAAACAGAATGTAAACCTGTTGGCTGCGGAAGAAATGGAGATGTCAACTAGAGTTGTAGAGTATTTTCCATTGATCTCTTTGTTGTGTTTTTGGTGCAGTATCCAGGGCCTGATGAGCTTGTAGCTGAAGTTTGATTATGAAATCCCTGGCATTTACTTACGCAACAGTTTTTAACCTTTGATACAGCAGGAGTGCCTTAACTTTTGTTTTGTACATGTTTATAATGCTTTTCATTTTAATTAAGAAAAACTGTTGTTTAGCATTATAGTCTTGTCTGTAAGCAGTGTCCACATAATTTTTACTGTCAATAGACCTGCAGTTCTTCATTCTACCTTACTAGATATTCAAATGAATATGTGCCAATCAGTCATCTATAGGACACAATGGGATTAGTTTTACTTAACATGCAATTTTTTTTTTTTTTTAGTATCCAGAAGCCGTGAGTTGTTAACCCTTAGGCTTGGTCTTATGGATATCGCAACCCTTCGGCCTTGATTCCATGATAAATACCATCCATAAATCTGGGAGAATTGTGGTTTTTCTGCCTACCCCCGGGCATGAACCCGGACCACAAGGAGTTCGTCACCCGGTCACCGCGCAATCCGTTTAGGCAACTATGCTAGCAAGCCGGGCTTAACATGCTATAATTATTGTGATGTTAGGTTTATATACATGTTTACAGTATAGTGCCTTGGTCTGTTTTAATTTTAACAGTTTACCTTATATATTGTCTTCTGCATACCTGTTTGTGGGCAGCAGCTAGTTTTACTGCCTGAAATATGTGAATAAACAACTTGTTAGTTTGTGAGAAACACAGTTTACTAACATATACATGCATGCATTTTTCTAGCAATAGTCTTCTGCTGGTGCAGATGTAATCACCATCATCATTATCATATTGTAGCAAGTCCTTAACACACGATTGACCTCATCACGACCCATAGAACAAGAGTTTTTTGTTTGTGACCCTTGACCTGCAACATCTGCACAAGACACATAGAGAGAATCTAGTAAAGACAGCAACACCAAACTGTGTGTGGCTATGCTATATAAAAAATTGTCAATGAGGATCAGCTACAAGAGCAAGAGGACGGCCACGGAAAACATGGATCGACAACATTAAAGACACTCTACGCCTTCACGGCATGACAATAGCTAGTGGTAGCCAACATGCACTGGATCGGATCGCAGATTATTCCTCCCCACGACGCTTAATGGCAGAAGTGGTTTATGATGATGATGAGAATTGGTAAAAGTGAATGGCAGGTGAGTGGTTGGTTCTTACTATTATGTCTATGGCTTAGGTGCTGGGAATATGCTTTGGAATTCTAAGGTACCCAGTTCGATTCCAGCTGCATTCAGTTTGGCAACAGAGCAATCTGTGTTGAAACAACAGTGGTATCAAGAGCTGACCATGCAGAAGCCTGGTTAAACAGCCAACAAATGCAGGGAGTTGGTTCTGAAATGCCTTGTAAAGGATACACAGCAGCTAATATTATAATTGTATGAATGATTGAGTAACAAAATGTATATTACTGAATTCTCACATGTGCCAGGTCACTTTTTTTGGTAGCCAGTGGAAACCTAACTGAAATTCATTATGTTGTTTATGCTACATTTTAGGTGGCTGCCATATCCTTTGCTCTGTTGTTTCCCCTACATCTTAAATGGTTGCTGTATCCTTTGCTCTAATGTTTCCCCTCACATCTTGAATGGCTGCTGTATCCTTTGCTCAGTTGTTTCCCCCTACATCTTAAATAGCTGCTGTATCCTTTGTTCTGTTGTTTCCCCTACATCTTAAATGGCTGCTGTATCCTTTGTTCTGTTGTTTCCCCTACATCTTAAATGGCTGCTGTATCCTTTGTTCTGTTGTTTCCCCTCACATCTTGAATGACTGCTGTATCCTTTGCTCTGTTGTTTCCCCTCACATCTTGAATGTTCTGTTGTTTCCCCTACATCTGAATGGCTGCTGTATGCTGTATCCCCCACCTTGTTCTGTTGTTTCCCCTCACATCTTGAATGACTGCTGTATCCTTTGTTCTGTTGTTTCCCCTCACATCTTGAATGGCTGCTGTATCCTTTGTTCTGTTGTTTCCCCTCACATCTTGAATGGCTGCTGTATCCTTTGTTCTGTTGTTTCCCCTCACATCTTGAATGGCTGCTGTATCCTTTGTTCTGTTGTTTCCCCTACATCTTGAATGACTGCTGTATCCTTTGTTCTGTTGTTTCCCCTCACATCTTGAATGGCTGCTGTATCCTTTGTTCTGTTGTTTTCCCCTACATCTTGAATGACTGCTGTATCCTTTGCTCTGTTGTTTCCCCCTACATCTTGAATGGCTGCTGTATCCTTTGTTCTGTTGTTTTCCCCTACATCTTGAATGACTGCTGTATCCTTTGCTCTGTTGTTTCCCCTCACATCTTGAATGACTGCTGTATCATTTGCAGTATTGTTTTCCATACATCTTAAGTAGCTGCCATATCCTTTGCTCACATCCTGCTAAATTACGCATTTAAATGGCTGCTGAATTGAGCCCCTCACCCGCCCTGCTGTATCCTTTGTTCTGTTGTTTTCCCCCACATCTTGAATGGCTGCTGTATCCTTTGTTCTGTTGTTTCCCCTCACATCTTAAATGACTGCTGTATCCTTTGTTCTGTTGTTTCCCCCACATCTTGAATGGCTGCTGTATCCTTTGTTCTCCTACATCTTAAAACTGCTGTATCCTTTGTTCTGTTGTTTCCTCTAATCTTGGCTGCTCTTTGCGGGGTGCCCTGCCATGCTTAACCAGATTTTTAAAAAGTACAAGGATATGTCGTTGACAATCCACTAAAGTTACCCAAGTACTAAATGACACTCTGCCAGAGTTATCTAAGTGCTAAATGACACTACACCAAATTTATCTAAGTGCTAAATGACACTACGCCAAAGTTATCTAAGTGCTAAATGACACTACGCCAATGTTATCTAAGTGCACAATGACACTACACCAAATTTATCTAAATGCTTAATGACACTACGCCAATGTTATCTAAGTGCTAAATGACACTCTGCCAAAGTTATCTAAGTGCTAAATGACACTCTGCCAGAGTTATCTAAGTGCTAAATGACACTACGCCAAAGTTATCTAAGTGCTAAATGACACTACGCTAAAGTTATCTAAGTGCTAAATGACACTACGCCAAAGTTATCTAAGTGCTAAATAACACTACGCCAAAGTTATCTAAGTGCTAAATGACACTACGCCAAAATTATCGAAGTGCTAACTGACACTATGCCAAAGTTTCCTAAGTACTAAATGACACTACACTTTAGTTACCTAAATGCTAAATGACACTATGATAAAGTTACCTAAGTGCTAAATGAGACTCCAGCAAAATTACTTTAGTGCTAAATGACACTATGCCAAAATTATCTAAGTGATAAATTATACTCTGCGAAAGTTACCTAAGGGCTATATGACACTACGCCAAAGTTGTCTAAGTGCTAAATGACACTCCGCCTAAGTGTTAAATGACACTACACCAAAGTTGCCTAAGTGCTAAATGACACTACGCCAAAGTTGCCTAAGTGCTAAATGACACTACACCAAAGTTGCCTAAGTGCTAAATGACACTCCGCCTAAGTGTTAAATGTCACTACGCCAAAGTTGTCTAAGTGCTAAATGACACTCCGCCTAAGTGTTAAATGACACTACGCCAAAGTTGCCCAAGTGCTAAATGACAATACGCCAAAGTTGCCTAAGTGTTAAATGACACTACGCCAAAGTGCTAAATGACAATACGCCAAAGTTGCCTAAGTGCTAAATGACAATATGCCAAAGTTGCCTAAGTGCTAAATGACAATACGCCAAAGTTGCCTAAGTGCTAAATGACAATATGCCAAAGTTGCCTAAGTGCTAATTGAGGATATGCCAAAGTTGCTTGAGTGCTAAATGACACTCCTCCAAAGTTACCTAAGCGCTAAATGACACTGCATCTGAAGTTGAGTTTTTTAAAAAAAAAGAGTAAAAGCAAAGGACACGTTTTCACGCATGCAGGCGTATTGGGCATATAGGGCTAGAACTATATTTTTAGACCAAATGACAATTGATGGGTGATTTGGCCAACATTATTACGGCGGCCGCCTTTACTTCCCCAAACTGCACCTCCTACACTTTGAAGGCTATGAATCAAGGTCATCTTTGAAAAAAGTTCCTGCTCTGTCAGCACCCGAACCGACGATCTTCTGATCCGCAGGCGAGCGTGTATTCGCTACACCACGACGACTCCATCTGAAGTTAAGTGGCAAATGAAAAGTGTGCTGCAGCATAAAACGTAATACTTAATTTTGAAAAGTGGGGAAAAACATATTCCTCACTGTCTTATTTGAAAACCGGTGAACAAACAATTAGTTCAGGCAAAATCCGTGGAAAGATATAAAACCGAATGCAAAGTAGATTAGCGAGTTATTCTCTACACATTGTCATCCGCATGTGGGACGCATTTTTTCGTTAATTTGAAGCTCCACCCTGGCTTTTGCCGGGAGCCGCAGTATAGCCTAACGGCTGAACGGGGTTTTTGGGACCTCTCCGCGGGTGATCCTCATCCGCATGGTGGTACTTTGTGGCAGCGGGTGTTTATCGCTTGTGTGATGTCCTGGTGGGGTAAAATTTACTTACTTACTAGAACAGCGAGCTTCAGAATATGACAGACACAAACCATTCAGCCACATGCAATAAATGCACAAGGTTGCTGCTAGAGATGCTAGCACCAACTGTCGCCACGATAATTGCAATCGTCGTTGATGAAAGTAAGTAGTCAGTTACAATGAGCTAGTCGTACACACGTACAGTCATTGCATAAGGTATTTCGCCAGCCGGGACGCAAACCGTGCATCCGCAATTTTCTGAATTTCGCGAAAAACCGCTATAGACACAGACAAATGTTGCATTGTTTTCAGGTTTCCCAGTCTGTTATGTGTGTAGCGCTTAGTGTCTTGAGTGCCACTGCATATTCAGTGGTTAATAACAAAAAAACAAAAAAAAAAAAAAAAAAATTAAACTCTGTACCCTTCAGATTCGCATTTCCAAATCACGAAAACCCTGTTCAACCTTATAGCCACACACCACAGTTATTTTGACAAAGTTCAACGGGCGGCGTTGGTGCCATTGCAGTGCGGTTATTTAGTGAGAACGAGGTGACCGTCGCTTTGGATTGCCCCTGAGACACTGCACCAGGATTAAATTCTGTGGAAATACTTCTACAACTCAGAGACTATCCCAACTCACCCCCCCCCCCTTGTTGTTGTAATAGGATGATGTCATCAACATACGAGAGGCTTATTCCTCTGCCATTCAGTGGTTCTCCAATCATCTGTTTTGCATAGTTAGCGAACGGGAGAATCTTGAGGCAGGCCTGGGCTGAGAGTTACTGGATGATAATAATAATACCAAACACCACAGCAGAGTAGCACCTTTCTTTGCAACAGTGCAGCAGATATCCATCAAACAAGACACTAAAAAAAGGGAGTAAGGGGGGGGGGGGTTAGTTTGATTAGTTGACACATTAGTTGGTGGAGTGGTACATTGTTGTAGATACCTTCCAGATGTGTGGTAAATGCCCATGATTTTTTGCTGGTTTGAACACCTTTAAATGTATCCCGGGTAAAGACGTCAGGTCTCTGTGTTCCATTTATACTCTATAGCCTCCGTATGTCGGGGGGAGGGAAGAGGTGTATTCACGAAGACATGAGCAGTGAGAAAAGGTCTTTGATACCTGATATGCCCGATACCTCAGTGTTTGTGATCTTGTCTTGCTACTTAATGCCAAGATTCTTCTTAGACAGCGTATGTGAAAGCTATTTAGCTGTTTTTTGCTGGTACGAATAAGTCGACCAGGTTTCTCTTCTGTAACCATTGACTGACTTATGATTATACCAGCAAAATAGCAGGTGGAGAAGGGTCTAACCGTTTGGCTGGCGCTATGATGGTCGTGGGTTCGTTTCATGGCTGCGACGTTTAGTTTGCGAGTGCAATCTATATGGATATCTCTGGGGTCTTGCCCAGAACTACCGAGTTCGTGCTTTGTGCAACGCTCGGCGGAGCCATATGCGATAAAACCCGGCGGTGCCCTGAAATCTCGACTTGACTTTAAAATGGTAGGGTTGCGATCTTGCCAGGGGAGATAACCGTCACAACACACAAGATGGAGACCAGAGGTTTGTTGTGGTCAATCGATGTCGTGTAGACTAGGGACAGTTTCTCGCTGGGTCCCCCCATCAGTTATAAGTTTGTCATGTCTGCGGCAGACGATCGTAAACGTTCGTACGTAGATGATTCATGCCGGCGATCTTGTTCGGATTTTTTTTAGTAGAAGGAGATGACAATAATGATATAATTTTAACATATATTGAACCGTGCACCTACGTAACTAAACTTTGAAACTGAAACATCACCACTTGCCAGCAAAGTGTAAATAAATGAAACGCCTCATTGATCGCCAGACACAAGGTACATTTATTAATGATTATAACTTTATAAGGTAGGCACTTCATACTTTAACTCTTTGAGTATGCTATCAAAGTCAGACTTGGACACACTGACACACTTGCTTCATTTGTCTTGCACAAATTGAAAAGCAGACAGACATTGAATTTGAATAATTCTCATCTGAATTATTAATTCAAGAAGGCAAGACAGCGCCAGTATATATATGATAAAATGTCTGACGACATTGATTTCAAGGATAGCAAGTCGGATGTTTTGGTCGCATAATATTAGCAAGATTATCTCATAGCAGCTCTCACACAGCTCTGCTGACACAGTAGACAAGATATCTCTGTGAAATGATATGATAATGATAGATTGAATGATAAATGTCTAAGGCTTAAGTACCTCAAAATATGAATCACACAGCTTTGCAGACAAGGCCAGATATCTCTGTGAAATGATAATGATAGATTGAATGATAGAATGGGCTTTCCTCCAAATAACGGGCACAAAAGATGGCGGCCCAAAACAGGGCCTCAGTCACGTGTCAATTGCGCACTTCCAGTGACCTAATTTGCGGTTTTCCGGCAACTACTGCCACCGCCAAGAGTATCCCCCATGCTGCTCACGCGGCGTGGATTAGCGCTAAACTAGATGGCTAGGACTCACAAGCAAAGCTGTAGGAGATGCTGCAGCTGCTGCTCGGAAGTTCCAGCCATTTAGTTTAGCCCCAATCCATGCCGCATGAACGGCGTAGGCGATACTCTCGGCAGTAGCGGTAGTCGGCGGAAAACCACAAATTAGGTCGCAGGATGTGCGCAATAGACACATGACTGAGGCTCTGTTAGGGTGTTTTTGCGGCCGCCATCTTTTGTGCCCATTATTCAGAGAATAGCCATATAATATCTAAGACTTAAGTACCACAAAATATGAATCACACAGCTCTGCAGACTAAAACACTGCCAATTACTGCCTTTATTTTAACACTTTTGCGGTGTAGGCAGGGGGGTCTGAGCCTGAGGATTTATGGCCGCATGGCTAGTGCTGTCGCCACGGACTGTGCAGGTGAGGATTTTATTTTGCCCTCATCATAAAAAATCCCCAGCCTTACCAAGGATTCGAACCCGGGGCTCTGCAGAAAAGGCCAAATATCTCTGTGAAATGATAATGATAGGTTGAATGTCTAAGACTCAAGTACTACAAAATATGAATCACGCAGCTCTGCAGACAAGACCAGATATCTCTGTGAAATGATAATGATAGGTTGAATGTCTAAGACTCAAGTACTGCAAAATATGAATCACACAGCTCCACCTGTGGGTTCTTAGGCTCCAGTGGTCGGGGAGGGGGGGGGGGTGGTAGAGGGTGGGTAAACCCAATGCCTCCCTAACAAGCAATTTGTACAAGGTGAATAATTAGTGTAGTTTCTTTTAAAGTCACAGTGCATCTGCAGGAGAGGCGAGTAACCAACAGTCTGCATATAAATAAGCCAGATCTGTAAAACAGATGTGCAAACAAAACATAAGTTCTGGAACAAGACTAAAGTCCATAAATGGTTGAACAGCATAATTCCCACCAGAGTTTATAGCTGGTGAACACTAGGAAGAAGAAGAAGAATCACACAGCATAGTTTCCCTAGTCTAGAAGTCTTTTCTTAATCTCAATCTGAAAGGTTAAACAGGACTGAATGATTAGATAAAAAAGGGTAAAGGGAAGAGGAGGAGAAAATAAGGGGTTAAAAAAAAAAGGAAGAGAAGGTCGACCTGGAAGAATCTAGGAAAAAAGAAGAATGAACAACAGGTTAAATGTAACTGGTTCACAACTCACTGCTTGATTTTAACAGATTTTCCTTGAAGACTAAACATGCTTCATCGCAACTTTCTGAGGAGGTTCTTTTTGTCCTGAAATGGCTGGCTGTGTACGAGTGTTACCCTCTTATGTGGTACTACTGCTTGTAACTTACTGTACAGGTAAGCTTTTGTTGCGGCTCACTGTGATACTTCTAACATTTATTATGCTGTAACATCATTATCATCAATCATCGTACTTAATATTCATTATGCTGTAACATCATTATCATCATTCATCATACTGAACATTTATTATGCTGTAACATCATTATCATCATTAATCGTACTGAACATTTATTATGCTGTATCATCATTATCATCATTTATTGTACTGAACATTTATTATGCTGTAACATCATTATCATCATTCATTGTACTGAACATTTATTATGCTGTAACATCGTTATCATCATTCATTGTACTGAACATTTATTATGCTGTATCATCATTATCATCATTTATTGTACTGAACATTTATTATGCTGTAACATCATTAACATCATTTAACGTACTGAACATTCATTATACTGTAACATCATTAACATCATTTAACGTACTGAACATTCATTGTGCTGTTACATCGTTATCATCAATCATCATCATGGTGTGTTATTAAATGTCATTTTAGGCTCACAGTCTATTCATCCATTTCAGTCTATCCTGTGTGCTTTCCCTTTAGTATCTTGGATGGAGCCCAGTTCACCACCCCTGGCCACTCTCATCAACATTTGCTTAAAGGTTTGTTTTGGACCTGCTCACTCCTCAATCTCTTTATTGCCCATTTGTATGCTTGTTTGGTGATTCTCTGCTCATTTCTTCTCAGGATTTGCCCAGTGTAGCTTTATCTTCTGTTTTATAACTGTTGTTACAGTGGTTGCACAGACATTTCTCTCATCGCTTTATCCCTTTTGAATTAATTTATATTAAAAATTTTCCTCAGGCACGTGTTTTCAAATGCATTTAACTTTCTTTCCATGTCTTTTGTGGTTTCCCAACTTTTTAATCTGTCTGGTACTAAACCGAGCTCTCTTTCTGCTTCAGATAGGATCTCATTCTAGCAGATATTTTGTAACTCTGGATGTCATCATAACTCCTACTCCTTCCCTTGCTTTCCATCTTCTCTCCCTAAATATATATCAGGATAAGCCCATTAACTACACTTGAATCTTCTGCTGGCCACATAACTTCACTTAACCCTAAAAATCTGGTTGGTATCTCTTCATTTTTTCTGCTGCCTGGGGGGAATTTATTGCCTGTGCCAGATTTTGACATTCCAAAAAACCTATTCTAGTGATTATTTTTGAGCTAAGTAGTGTGCACTTCTTGATACACCAAGGAGCTGTAAAATACCCCAAGGAGCTGTAAAATACCCACAGTCAAATGTCATGCAGTGTTTGTGCTGATTAATTTGCCAGACCTCCCTGCTTCTGTGACAGGTAACCCTCATGGTTTCCATGTCATTCAAACAACACTGTTTATTAGATTTACCTGTTACAAAAAATAATGTTTGTAAAACATGCAAAAATTACTTTTTGTAACAGGCAAATCTAACTTTTGATTAGATGCAAATCTTACTCTCTATCATCTGCAGACCTCACTCTCTGTGACAAACAAACCTCACCCTCTGTGACATACAAACCTCACTCTCTGTGACACACAAACCTCACTCTCTGTGACATACAAACCTCTCTCTCTGTGACATACAAACCTCACCCTCTGTGACATACAAACCTCACTCTCTGTGACATACAAACTTCACTCTCTGTGACGTACAAACCCCACTCTCTGTGACATACAAACCCCACTCTTTTTGACATACAAACCTCACTCTCTGTGACATACAAACCTCACTTTCTGTGACATACAAACCTCACTCTCTGTGACATACAAACCTCACTTTCTGTGACATACAAACCTCACTCTCTATGACATACAAACCTCACTCTCTGCGACATACAAACCTCACTCTCTGCGACATACAAACCTCACTCTCTGCGACATACAAACCTCACACTCTACGACATACAAACCTCACTCTCTGCGGCATACAAACCTCACTCTCTGCGACATACAAACCTCACTCTCTGTGACATACAAACCTTGTATTCTCTTCATTCAGAACTCCAAACTTTATTATTTAAAAAAAAAAAATACTGTTTACCCAAGCAGTCACCACAGCGCTATAGGGTTAGAATGATTGTTACTTCCAGTTCTCAATCATGGATGCTTTAATTGTACCTTGTTAAGGTTTGAACGGAGTATCTGGGATTTGCTATGTTAAAACGACCTCAAGGATCTGGCTCTTGAAGTCACAGGGACGGTAGGATCATCAGGTAGCAGCAAGAAGTGGAGAGGGAAATAGACAAACTACCATTTCTCAGCACTGTCAACTAATGGTTTGATACTTTCACAGCCCTGCTGGAGTTACAAGAGTCTGTTGAATGGAGGTTCCATCGCAATCTCTATGAATACAAGACATATGGGGCAATTACCCTGGAGATATTCAATATTCCATCTCACCCAGTTCGAGTGAACATTAACTCAAGTGTGGAGAGCAGTAGTAGTAGCTGCCCTTTGATGACTGTGAAAATGTGAGTAGTTTCCCTGTTAAATACATGACAATGCAAGTTATGTTGTCAAATACAATATTTCTTATATAACTTTTGTGACAAAATTTTGTTAACCCCGTAGCCCTGGAAATGCTAAAAATGGGGTCATGAACCCATGAGAATCCCTCAGAAATCTTTTTAAAAACAAGTTTTACGCAGTGACTAGTGAATGTAAAGAAAACAACAGTATTTATCTACATGAACCATTTTTTTTCAGATGTATATAAATCTATATAAAAGAGAAACCAGTAAACCAAGAACTGAGTGAAGCATTAAGTAGAATATATTCCTCAGGGCCAGATAAACAATATGTGTGGGAGGACTCGTCTTGTAACACATCAGTGAGGTTACAGGGAAAATATGGTGTCAGTATGGCTTTGAAAAAAGTCATTCGATTCTCAAGAAAATCCCCCTAAATGCTATTTTTAGTAAATATATTTATATCCTGACCTCCTAAATGCTGCACAGGCACAAACACAGCCAATAACATTAACTGTGCTTCTCTTAAACAGATCACTTTAGAATAGTTGGTTCGTATCTTTCTCAGGGAATTGGACCCAGCTAGAAGTGTTGGTTTTGTGGCTTTCTCAGGGAATTGGACCCAGCTGGAAGTGTTGATTTTGTGGCTTTCTCAGGGAATTGGACCCAGCTGGAAGTGTTGGTTCTCAGGGCAACAGGGTTAAATCACCACTAATTAGTGGCATAAAGAAAGTTAATCGGTTGCAATGGTTGGGGCATTTAGAGAGAGTCTCAGATAACAGGGAGACAAAAACTGCATGCACAAAAGAGTTGAATGGAAGTAGACCACGAGGCAGGCCAAAAAGACGAAATAGAGATAATATACAGACAGACCTACAAACACTTGGAGTCACCAACTAGAAGAACAAGGCCTGTCGCAGAGATGAATGGGGATGGGTGATAACTGCAGCAATCTTCTTCTTTTTATTCACTGGCTGTAAACTGCGCCGACAAATTCTGGTCCTTTATCCTCTTTTGGGTTTTGATCTTGTTGCAGAATTTAACTGTTGTGTACACATCAGTTTTACAGTTCTAACTTATTTGTATGCAGACTGTTGGTTTGTTGCCTCTCAGGCTGATGCACTCTGACTTTAAAGCAAAGACACCTGATTAGTCACCTTTTATGACATTCTCGTTAGGGCACAGGGAATCTGTTCTTGTCCCCCCAAAATGGGCCCAGGGACCCACTCGGAAAGCCTGTCTTCACCAGTAAACCTCAAGGGCTCACAATGTTGATTGAAGAAGAGGAAGAACGTCTTTCTTACGAGTGTTTTGAGCACAAATTGTATTTTGTAAAGCACTAGTATTTAAGTTTTGAGGGATCAAAACAGTTGGCTGTGTTATGAATATCGGTGGGTTATTCCTTCATATGCACTTAGCTAAAAATATATTCTTTGTCGACTACAAAAAGTGCTGTTCCGGAACAAAAATAAAAATAATGGAACTAAAAATGCATTGTTCGTGGTGGGCTTGAATGAAAAACATGTGTTGTTCGTGGTGGGCTTAAATAAAAAACATGTGTTGTTCGTGGTGGGCTTGAATAAAAAACATGTGTTGTTCGTGGTGGGCTTGAATAAAAAACATGTGTTGTTCGTAGTGGGCTTGAATAACAAAAATGTGTTGTTCGTGGTGGGCTTGAATAAAAAAAATGCACTGAAAATGTGTTCTTTGTACATCTTTATGGGGAATGGGTTGCATGTGTGTTTCCCTGTAACACGTGTGAATATATATCTAGTTTCCCTGTAACACGTGTGAAAGTATATCTAGTTTCCCTGTAAAGCGTGTGAAAATATATATAGTTTCCCTGTAACATGTGTGAAAATATATCTAGTTTCCCTGTAACACGTGTGAAAATATATATAGTTTCCCTGTAACATGTATGAAAATATATCTAGTTTCCCTGTACACGTGTGAAAATATATCTAGTTTCCCTGTAACTTGTGTGAAAATATATCTAGTTTCCCTGTAACACGTGTGAAAATATATATAGTTTCCCTGTAACATGTGTGAAAATATGTCTAGTTTTCCTGTAACATGTGGGAAAATATATCTAGTTTCCCTGTAACACGTGTGAAAATATATATAGTTTCCCTGTAACATGTGTGAAAATATATCTAGTTTCCCTGTAACACGTGTGAAAATATATATAGTTTCCCTGTACACGTGTGAAAATATATCTAGTTTCCCTGTACACGTGTGAAAATATATCTAGTTTCCCTGTAACTTGTGTGAAAATATATCTAGTTTCCCTGTAACACATGTGAAAATATATATAGTTTCCCTGTAACATGTGTGAAAATATATATAGTTTCCCTGTAACACGTGTGAAAATATATATAGTTTCCCTGTAACATGTGTGAAAATATGTCTAGTTTTCCTGTATTATGTGGGAAAATATATATAGTTTCCCTGTAACACGTGTGAAAATATATCTAGTTTCCCTGTAACATGTGTGAAAATATGTCTAGCTTTCCTGTAACATGTGGGAAAATATATCTATTTCCCTGTAACACGTGTGAAAAATATATCTAGTTTCCCTGTAACATGTGTCAAATACTTGTTCGCTAGCTTTCTAAAATGTGTTTAAAAAAATGTGCAAGGTTTCTATATAAAAAAATGTGACTTTTCTGTAAAAATATGTGTAATTGCCATTTTTTGTGTGTGTGGTAAAATGTCTAGTTTAGCTGTAAAGTGTGTGAAAATGTCAGTTATTGCATCAGATGATGACATTGCCTATAACAAATGTATGCTGTCATTACTGCCTTTGCGCACCACTTGTTAGGGTGGTATGGGATGAGAATTGGGGGTTTGAGTCTGAAGATTGAAGACCGCTTGACTGATGCAGTCACCGTGGACTGTGCAGGTTAGCATTTTTTTAATGGATCTCTCTTTAAAAAAGAAAATATGTATTCAATTTTTATTTTTGTAATATGTATTAAATACTGTTTTGTTAGCTCTTGTATGTAATATGTGTGACAGGATGATTTATATTTCATAACATGTCTGCTGTTTCTGAAACATATATAAGAATCACCTTGTAATATATGAAATCCCTGTGAACGATTGAATGTGTACATTTTTGGAATATGGGTATTTTTAAAAATTAATTTACATTGTATTTTCTTCCCTACACAGCGCACAATATTAATGGTATGTTAGATTGTACATGATTTTATATTTCTGTAGATTTTCCAGTCAGTTTGGGATTCCAGTGGTAAGAAGAGAGGGGGAATCTTTCCCAGATAAACTGTTTGTCAGCAAGACACCTGTACAGAATATAACTGTAGTCAGCACTAACCAGTCAGTTGTTTGGCAGCTGGATCCAGTAAAACCTGGCCAATTGTACGTCATGGCCATCCTGCCACGAGCTGACACCAGGATTAAACAGAAGGTCTCATATCTATCTTGTCTTATTAAGTTTGTTATTGTTCTGTGTGACACTCCGAGCAACAGATTTATTGATCTTGTAATATTGTGTTTGTTATTGTTCTGTGTGCCACTGTTAGCAACATATATATTTTTAAATAATGCAGACATAGGGAACTCATAGAAATTAAAAATATGAACAGAGGGCAAGAAGATTTTTCATAAACCTTGAAAATCTGTCATGTCCAAAAGGAATTTAATACTAGTACTAATCTTAAAATATTTAGCTCTGTTCCAAATGAGTACTGCTTTATGGAGCTGAAACATAGAGAACAACTAAAACCGTTATAATAAACTATAAATATTCATTAAATAGTGCCTGAGCAGAAAAGAGGTACTTAAATAGTGTGATAGAATCGCTAACATAGAGCTTTCGGAGAGAACCAAGAAAAATCGTTTGAGTAAAGAGGTGAAGCAAAAATGCTGCCGTTGGATAGGACACATGCTAAGAACATCTTGAAAAAATTTAATTAGGAAATCTTTGCACTGGAATCCACAGGGGCAAAGAAATAAAGGCATACCAAAATCACATGGATAAGGGAGCTAAAGACTGAGGTTAAAAAGATGGGGAAAAGATGAGATGAGCTGTATGCAATGGCAAAGGATGGGACAACTTGGCATGAGTTCGTTGAGGGCTCCATTGGGGAATCAAGAGCAGAAGAAGATGAATAAGGGAATAGAGACAAAAACCATGGTGGTGATGATCGGAACACAGTGCTGTATCACCAGATGGTGGATGATGATTGGGACACAGTGCTGTATCACCAGATGGTGGATGATGATTGGGACACAGATCTGTATCACCACATTGGGTGTTGATTGTTGGGATAGAGTATTGTATTACCAAATTGGGTGGTGATGGTTGGGACACAGTATTGTATCACCAAATTGGGTGGTGATGGTTGGGACACAGTATTGTATCACCAAATTGGGTGATGATGGTTGGAACACAGTATTGTATCACCAAATTGGTTGGTGATGGTTGGGACACAGTATTGTATCACCAAATTGGGTGGTGATGGTTGGGACACAGTATTGTATTACCAAATTGGGTGGTGATGGTTGGGACACAGTATTGTATCACCAAATTGGGTGGTGATGACACAATATTGTATCACCAAATATGGTGATAATGATTGGGACACAGTGTTGCATCACCAAATGGGGTGATAATGATTGGGACACAATATTGTATCATCAGTGGGGTGATAATGATTGGGACACAATATTGTATCACCAGTGGGGTGATAATGATTGGGACACAATATTGTATCACCAAATGGGGTGATAATGATTGGGACACAATATTGTATCACCAGTGGGGTGATGATGGTTGGGACACAATATTGTATCACCAAATGTGGTGATGAAGGTCTGGACAAAAGCTCAGACTGGTCAAGACCTTACACTTCTCCATGGATGTCCTAGAAACAGGCTCTCTCCTGGAGGCCTAACCAGCATAGATCAGATGGGTGTCCTAGATACAGGCACTCTCCTGGAGGCCTAACCAGCATAGATCAGATGGCTGTCCTAGAAACAGGCTCTCTCCTGGAGGCCTAACCAGCATAGATCAGATGGCTGTCCTAGAAACAGGCTCTCTCCTGGAGGCCTAACCAGCATAGATCAGATGGGTGTTTCCTCCGAAGTCAGATTGTCTCTGCCTCAAAGGCTCATATTCTTGAAAGAGCTATGGATGTATATATTCACTGCAGCTGTACTCCCTTAAGGAGACAACACACAACAAAGGGCTATGAAAGCTTCTATTACTTCATGTATTGTTATTTGTCCATGTTTGTCTAGTCAAAACCCCTTGACAGATTTGTTATCTTCTGTTTGTCCTGGCAGGGTCTGCAGCTCGAATGCCATTACTACGTGAATCTACAGGCCACAGTCTTGTATTACCTGGACACTGACATATACCAGCTAGGCTTCAACAGGACTCATGAGGTTTCTCTCGTTGCCAAGTCTAAAACTTTATTCAGGTATGTTTTGTGTATAAGGTTTTTTGCTCGTCGGTATGTTGTGTGGATCTTTTTATACAATTTTTTTTTATGTTATTAGTTATTGGTTTATGACTGCTCTGGGGAAAACAACAACATTAAAGTTACATGAATGAAAAAGACAAGGATTGTGAAATAGGTTAACTTAATATGGTCACAGTTTAGTGTCAGCAGTATAATATTAAAAGTCATACACGGGAGAACCTGTTGTAAATGTTTGTACCTGTTTTATGAATGTGCCTTCAAATATATGTTGCACTTGCGTTTTGTTGGCACCTCTCCTTCTTTACAGATGATGGTGTTATATTCTGCTATAGGGAGTCATGGGGATCACAGCCCATAGTGATCCTCTTCATGACACACATCACATAGTGATCCTCTTCATGACACACATCACATAGTGATCCTCTTCACGACATACAACACATAGTGATCCTCTTCATGACACACACCACATAGTGATCCTCTTCACGACACACAACACATAGTGATCCTCTTCACGACACACAACACATAGTGATCCTCTTCACGACACACAACACATAGTGATCCTCTCCAAACCACACAGCTCAAAGTGATCCTCTTCACGACACACAACACATAGTGATCCTCTCCACAGCACACAGCTCAAAGTGATCCTCTTCACACCACACAGCTCAAAGTGATCCTCTCCTCTTCACACCACACAGCTTAAAGTGATCCTCTCCTCTTCACACCACACAGCTCAAAGTGATCCTCTCCACAGCACACAACTCAAAGTGATCCTCTCCTCTTCACACCACACAGTTCAAAGTGATCCTCTTCACACCACACAGCTCAAAGTGATCCTCTTCACACCACACAGCTCAAAGTGATCCTCTCCACACCACACAGCTCAAAGTGATCCTCAACACAGCTCAAAGTGATCCTCTTCTCTTCACACCACACAGCTCAAAGTGATCCTCTCCTCTTCACACCACACAGCTCAAAGTGATCCTCTCCTCTTCACACCACAAGCTCAAAGTGATCCTCTCCACAGCACACAGCTCAAAGTGATCCTCTCCACAGCACACAGCTCAAAGTTATCCTCTCCACAGCACACAGCTCAAAGTGATCCTCTCCACAGCACACAGCTCAAAGTGATCCTCTCCACACCACACAGCTCAAAGTGATCCTCTCCACAGCACACAGCTCAAAGTGATCCTCTCCACAGCACACAGCTCAAAGTGATCCTCTCCACACCACACAGCTCAAAGTGATCCTCCACACAGCTCAAAGTGATCCTCTTCACACCACACAGCTCAAAGTGATCCTCTTCACACCACACAGCTCAAAGTGATCCTCTTCACAGCACACAGCTCAAAGTGATCCTCTTCACAGCACACAGCCCAAAATGATCCTCTTCACACCACACAGCTCAAAGTGATCCTCTCCACAGCACACAGCTCAAAGTGATCCTCTCCACACCACACAGCTCAAAGTGATCCTCTCCACACCACACAGCTCAAAGTGATTCTCTCCACAGCACACAGCTCAAAGTGATCCTCTCCACACCACACAGCTCAAAGTGATCCTCTCCACAGCACACAGCTCAAAGTGATCCTCTCCACACCACACAGCTAAAAGTGATCCTCTCCACACCACACAGCTCAAAGTGATCCTCTCCACACCACACAGCTCAAAGTGATCCTCTTCACACCACACAGCTCAAAGTGATCCTCTCCACACCACACAGCTCAAAGTGATCCTCCACACAGCTCAAAGTGATCCTCTTCACACCACACAGCTCAAAGTGATCCTCTCCACACCACACAGCTCAAAGTGATCCTCTCCACACCACACAGCTCAAAGTGATCCTCTCCACACCACACAGCTCAAAGTGATTCTCTCCACAGCACACAGCTCAAAGTGATCCTCTCCACACCACACAGCTCAAAGTGATCCTCTCCACAGCACACAGCTCAAAGTGATCCTCTCCACACCACACAGCTCAAAGTGATCCTCTTCACACCACACAGCTCAAAGTGATCCTCTTCACACCACACAGCTTAAAGTGATCCTCTCCACACCACACAGCTCAAAGTGATCCTCTCCACACCACACAGCTCAAAGTGATTCTCTCCACAGCACACAGCTCAAAGTGATCCTCTCCACACCACACAGCTCAAAGTGATCCTCTCCACACCACACAGCTCAAAGTGATCCTCCACACAGCTCAAAGTGATCCTCTTCACACCACACAGCTCAAAGTGATCCTCTCCACACCACACAGCTCAAAGTGATCCTCTCCACACCACACAGCTCAAAGTGATCCTCTCCGCACCACACAGCTCAAAGTGATTCTCTCCACAGCACACAGCTCAAAGTGATCCTCTCCACACCACACAGCTCAAAGTGATCCTCTCCACAGCACACAGCTCAAAGTGATCCTCTCCACACCACACAGCTCAAAGTGATCCTCTTCACACCACACAGCTCAAAGTGATCCTCTTCACACCACACAGCTTAAAGTGATCCTCTCCACACCACACAGCTCAAAGTGATCCTCTCCACACCACACAGCTCAAAGTGATTCTCTCCACAGCACACAGCTCAAAGTGATCCTCTCCACACCACACAGCTCAAAGTGATCCTCTCCACAGCACACAGCCCATAGTGATCCTCTTCATGACACACATCACATAGTGATCCTCTTCATGACACACATCACATAGTGATCCTCTTCACGACATACAACACATAGTGATCCTCTTCATGACACACACCACATAGTGATCCTCTTCACGACACACAACACATAGTGATCCTCTTCACGACACACAACACATAGTGATCCTCTTCACGACACACAACACATAGTGATCCTCTCCAAACCACACAGCTCAAAGTGATCCTCTTCACGACACACAACACATAGTGATCCTCTCCACAGCACACAGCTCAAAGTGATCCTCTTCACACCACACAGCTCAAAGTGATTCTCTCCACACCACACAGCTCAAAGTGATCCTCTTCACACCACACAGCTCAAAGTGATCCTCTCCACACCACACAGCTCAAAGTGATCCTCTTCACACCACACAGCTCAAAGTGATCCTCTCCTCTTCATACCACACAGCTCAAAGTGATCCTCTCCACATCACACAGCTCAAAGTGATCCTCCTCACACCACACAGCTCAAAGTGATCCTCTCCACACCACACAGCTCAAAGTGATCATCTTCACACCACACAGCTCAAAGTGATCCTCTTCATGACACACATCACATAGTGATCCTCTTCACGACATACAACACATAGTGATCCTCTTCATGACACACACCACATAGTGATCCTCTTCACGACACACAACACATAGTGATCCTCTTCACGACACACAACACATAGTGATCCTCTTCACGACACACAACACATAGTGATCCTCTCCAAACCACACAGCTCAAAGTGATCCTCTTCACGACACACAACACATAGTGATCCTCTCCACAGCACACAGCTCAAAGTGATCCTCTTCACACCACACAGCTCAAAGTGATTCTCTCTCACACCACACAGCTCAAAGTGATCCTCTTCACACCACACAGCTCAAAGTGATCCTCTCCACACCACACAGCTCAAAGTGATCCTCTTCACACCACACAGCTCAAAGTGATCCTCTCCTCTTCATACCACACAGCTCAAAGTGATCCTCTCCACATCACACAGCTCAAAGTGATCCTCCTCACACCACACAGCTCAAAGTGATCCTCTCCACACCACACAGCTCAAAGTGATCATCTTCACACCACACAGCTCAAAGTGATCCTCTTCACACCACACAGCTCAAAGTGATTCTCTCCACACCACACAGCTCAAAGTGATTCTCTCCACACCACACAGCTCAAAGTGATCCTCTCCTCTTCACACCACACAGCTCAAAGTGATCCTGTCCACATCACACAGCTCAAAGTGATCCTCCTCACACCACACAGCTCAAAGTGATCCTCTCCACACCACACAGCTCAAAGTGATCCTCTTCACAGCACACAGCTAAAAAGTGATCCTCTTAACAGCACACAGCCTGGACAGTACTGTAGAGGCCATTGCCCAGGCGGCATGATCCCTCTCTCTGCCTGCCTTGTTTACTCCAATGGAAAGGCTACACTAATGTGTTCGGAACACAGCATGGTGCAGAAGCTGTTGGATCAGAAGAGCAGTGCTATGTCAGAGCTTCTTGTCATTAGACAAGAAAGTAAAAGTTCCATGTTGTATTAGTATGTGATATTTTATCATATCAGATGCAGTGAATATCAGCGGTTGCACTTGTGTGTAAGGTGGATTAGAAATAACAAAGAGAAAAAAGTAAAAATGACATTACTTATACTTTCAGCTTTAAAGTTCCTGTTGATGCCAAATCGTATGTTGTGGAACTTGGTGGCTGTGGCCTGGAGCAGTGTCCAGTGAATGCATCTGTGTCCGAGACACTGGGGGTCAGCATGGAAGATGGATCTAGCAGGGTCTGCCATTGGGTCAACGGATCATGTAGGCTTGAGGTAAGACTATGTTTTCACAAGTTAAAAATTTCTTGTTGTTGTAAATTTGCAATTTTAAAGTTGAGGGGCTGGTCGTCTTATACACAGAAAAAACTAGAATTATAAAGTTATAAAATCAGTTGTATATCCTTTACGTGGCATTGCAGAACCCTACCCAGCAGTTTTTGTGTGTGATTTTGTTAGGCAGTGTTACATTCAGTAGTTGTTGTTATTGGTGTAAAAAATGTAACTTAAAGTAGTAACCATGGAAGTGAAATGTCTGGGAAAGGTAAAAGGAGTGACCAGAAATAATCAAATCAGGAATGAACTCTGAGAGAAAAGACAGAGCATATTCAATCTAAATTACACACAAAGAGAGTAAATAAAATGGTTTGCCCACTTATGAAAATCAAAATCAAATGGTTTGTCTTCCGACACCGTATCATACAAGACATGCCCCAAAAGAGGAGAAGGAACTTTATGTGAATGTACCACATAGAACATGAGATTAACCAACAACAGAATAGTAAGAAGTGTCTACGGGTGAGGCGGCTAGAAAGTCCAGAAGCAGAACCATATATCTCTGCGATACCCCAAGTGGTAAAAGACAAAGTGAAAAAGAAGGAGAGGAGAAACATAACACAGATACTGTAAAGATAAAGCCATGTTGTTGACCTTTACACTTTGCCCTTGGCCAGGTGACCTCCCCAGCTGTGGACACCCTGAACTACTTGTCCCTATCTTCGGATGCTAGGATCAACCTCACAATTCTCATTGTCAGCTCATGTAAGTACAGCCTGCTTGTGCATTTGTCTGGGTGCTAGACAGTTGATGTGCATGTCTCTGTGCATGCACTCGTGTGTCAGTTGGTCTCTGGTGAAGGGGTCAGGGCATGTGACTCACACTTTGCAGGCTGTGGGTTCATTTCATGGATGGGTCATCCAGTTCACGAGTGCAGTTTTTGCAGAGATATCCGGGGATAATTGCTGGAGCTATGAAGTTTGTGTGGCTCTCTTGACAGCTGGCTCAGGAAGTTTGTCTTCTCACCTTTAATTTTTATTATGTAGGTTTGCAAGTGGAACATGAATGATATAGGTATTGAGGTGGATTAATGGAAACAGGACACCATGAAAATCAGGAAGGGAATATATAGTGAAAGGACATATCATGAGTACGTGATAATTTTTTTAAGTTAAAAAAAAAGAATGAAGAACTTTTTATGTTATTTACTCTTGGACCTCTTGATGTATATTAGGTATATGAGTTTTTCTGTCCATCTTCATAATAAAGGTTGGCTAAAGTGTACCACTTCTGTTGTTATATTGTGAGGTTCCCAATCTTTTCTACTGTGCAACTCTCATGCTGGCATCCAACGACCACAAGAATATTGTTTTGTAAGCACTGTCCTCAGCGTAACTTAAACCCTAAGACTGAAGGATCAGGCAATTGTTGAACTCATTCACTGACCTTTGAAGACCTTTCAACCACAGAGCTGCATGGGTATAAAGGTGCCAGTACCATATGTGTAGACAAATCAGCCTTCACTGAGTCTTCTTCGATCCTTCTGTCAGAAAACTTATATCAGGAGGCCGGTAGCCTTTATGAAAGCTATCGTGCAATCCATATCCTCTCGTGTACCATACAGTTTTGTCTTCAATGTGGTTGGAACAGGCCATATTGCGTCTCTATTGTCAGCATACAGTTGACAGTGTTGGAGCACATGCTCAGCATTTTCGGGTGCCACGCTGCAGGGACACGTCCCCGTATTTCCTACACCAAAAATTTTGAACATATGTTGACGAAATCTGTTGTGCCCAGTCCTTAGTCTGAATATAAAACAATGTCCCTCTCTAGAGAGGCGATGAAAATAGGGTGTGGGTATCCAGCCACCTTTCCTGGATACTAGATTGTATTAATGTTTTCATCTCTTGGTGGGTTAAGTCGCTATTTGGTTGTACCATGTCACTGCCGCTTCTGGCTAATCTGTCCGCTATTTCATTGCCTTCCAAGCCACAGTGACCTGGATCTGATCAATTTTATGCTGACTACCTTAACGCAACATTTTCTGGCGCCCTTCTAAGGCTGGGAGTCCAGGCCGTTTAAACAATTCCATCTGTGAAGGAGATTTGAACTTATGATCACCAAGCTGGCATGCTAGTAATATTGCTAACTGGACTCCTGCCTGTATTCATTTTGTAAATTCACTTTTCTTTAGCAGTATTTCTCATAAAGTGACTTCTATCTGGGTGTTTTATTTTCCCTTCTTCTGTGTTCACACTTAAAGAGGCATTTGGCATGTTGTGTTGTGGTTTACAACTAGGCTGTGATATCTTTTCCTTTTGGCCAAGCACATCCAGTTTACAGCAGCAAAACCATGATAAGTTAGTTATCTTGTACAAGATGTTTTAAGTACACTGGGTATTCTTCAGCTACCACCACCCACCTCCAACCCTGTAGTTGGATCCCAGGAAGCCACATGGGGAAGTTTCATTTTTCTGTTTCTTGTCTTTGAATGCCACTTTGTTTATTGCTTCTTTTCATCTTATTATCATTTTCTCACTCTGTCTCTCACTTTATTCAATAGTTTGCTACACAAATCACAGCCATAATCTGACCGTGAAAGACACCGACACCTGTACGTTTGCTGGAGATTTAGGTAGAGAGACTCCAAGGGCCGAAGAAGATACCTCCAACTTCAATGACCGTTTTGTTACATGGGACAAAGCTTTGTCTCCAAATTCGGTGGTCAGTCTTGAGGTCACTGACGCAAATGTGGTGGTGACCAGGTTCAAGTTACGCACCTCAGACACAGGCACCTCGCTGAATGTCTACCTGCATATTCCACCAGAGAAGACTTCTGAGGTGAGAATGTCTGACTTATTTTCTTGTCTCTATATGAAAGATTTCCTTGTTTGCCTGATTCTTGCCAATATTTAAGTTTTTGCCATGGGGAAAACCGAAATCATGAACCAACTGGCACGGAAGAAAGTGTATCTTGAGCCAACTATTTAGGTAAATGGCAGGAAGTTAAGGGTTGTGAACAGATTAGCATACCTTGGTAGTATACTGTCTCAAAATGTCACCATTGACGGCAAGATGAAATGAGGATCTGTAGAGCCAGCTGCACATTTGGTAGATTATACACCAATGTCTGGCATCGAAGTGGTACCAGTCTACAAACCATACTGAAGGTTTGCAGAGCTGAGGTGCTTCCAGTGTTGCTGAGGGCTTGTGAAACATGGACTGTCTACAGACATCATGCTTAAGCTCAGCCACTTTCATACAGTCTGAACATCAAGTGGGAAGACAGGGTCCCAGCTACTGTCTTATTGGATAGAACATGCATTCCCAGCATTGATACCATCCTCATAAAGTCACAGATTCAATTGGTAGGTCACATTGACCGCTTGCCAGACCATCGGCTTCCAAAAATAATCTTGTATAGTGAGACGCTGTCATGTTGGCCAGGAAAAACACTTCAAGGTCATGCTAGAGGCATCTCTTATAGCCTTTCATATAAACCCCGACACTTGCTGCACAAGACCGCACTGCGTGGCCAATGTCTATGTAATAAGAGTCAGAGACCTGCAAGGCCTCAAGAAAAGGACATCTGACTTTATTGCAAATGGATTATTGCACTTAGGTGGTTTTGGTGCCGTGGATAATGGCAATTAAGTGGGTTTGGCATAGTGGCAGTAAACTGTGTTACTGATTTTTGCAAGTATTTATATTTTTGTCATGATTGTTCATGGTAATTTCCAAGTAATGCATGCTCTTTACCAACATTTCATTTTACGCCATGGTTGTTCATGATAATTTCTAAATGATATCTTTCCTTTGGTGTTTTGATATTTTGTTGTGCCAAAAGATCAATCATTAAAACCATTTAAAAAAAAAAAACGAATAAAATGTATGGGACATGTCTACAGAAGGATACCATCGATATGCAGCCTGTAGACGTAGAGCTGTCTCACTGGTGAGATACCATCTATGTGCAGCCTGTAGAAGTAGAGCTGAGTCTCACTGGTGAGATACCATCGATGTGCAGCCTGTAGAAGTAGAGCTGAGTCTCACTGGTGAGGTACCATCGATGTGCAGCCTGTAGAAGTAGAGCTGTCTCACTGGTAAGATACCATCGATGTGCAGCCTGTAGAAGTAGAGCTGAGTCTCACTGGTGAGATACCATCGATGTGCAGCCTGTAGAAGTAGAGCTGAGTCTCACTGGTGAGATACCATCGATGTGCAGCCTGTAGAAGTAGAGCTGAGTCTCACTGGTGAGGTACCATCGATATGCAGCCTGTAGAAGTAGAGCTGAGTCTCACTGGTGAGATACCATCGATGTGCAGCCTGTAGAAGTAGAGCTGAGTCTCACTGGTGAGGTACCATCGATGTGCAGCCTGTAGAAGTAGAGCTGAGTCTCACTGGTGAGGTACCATCGATGTGCAGCCTGTAGAAGTAGAGCTGAGTCTCACTGGTAAGATACCATCGATGTGCAGCCTGTAGAAGTAGAGCTGAGTCTCACTGGTGAGGTACCATCGATATGCAGCCTGTAGAAGTAGAGCTGAGTCTCACTGGTGAGATACCATCGATGTGCAGCCTGTAGAAGTAGAGCTGAGTCTCACTGGTGAGATACCATCGATGTGCAGCCTGTAGAAGTAGAGCTGAGTCTCACTGGTGAGGTACCATCGATATGCAGCCTGTAGAAGTAGAGCTGAGTCTCACTGGTGAGATACCATCGATGTGCAGCCTGTAGAAGTAGAGCTGAGTCTCACTGGTGAGGTACCATCGATGTGCAGCCTGTAGAAGTAGAGCTGAGTCTCACTGGTGAGGTACCATCGATGTGCAGCCTGTAGAAGTAGAGCTGAGTCTCACTGGTAAGATACCATCGATGTGCAGCCTGTAGAAGTAGAGCTGAGTCTCACTGGTGAGGTACCATCGATATGCAGCCTGTAGAAGTAGAGCTGAGTCTCACTGGTGAGATACCATCGATGTGCAGCCTGTAGAAGTAGAGCTGAGTCTCACTGGTGAGGTACCATCGATATGCAGCCTGTAGAAGTAGAGCTGAGTCTCACTGGTGAGATACCATCGATGTGCAGCCTGTAGAAGTAGAGCTGAGTCTCACTGGTGAGATACCATCGATGTGCAGCCTGTAGAAGTAGAGCTGAGTCTCTTGTGAGGTACCATCTAAACAAAAGATTAGAGAATCAGTCTGCTAACTTTCTAAAGAATGGGAATGCTGCTGGTCCACACAATATCCAGTATAAACATGTCAATAGATTTGCTACTCAGATTATTTAGCAGAGTCTAGAAAGGATACCTGACCAAAAGAAGAAGAAAGAAGAAAGGAGTGCTACAGGAGCATGCCTTTTGTAGAGAATAATGTTATTGTCAGTTTCTGTGAAAATATTAAGCAGGATCTTTCTGGCAAGATTAAGAGATGGCATTGACAAACAACTAAGAGATGAATATGCAGATATTTAACCATTGTCATCCTCTACCAACTGGTTGCTCACATTGTGTGCAGTAATAGAGCAAAGCATTGAACTGATCTTTCTATCTTGTACTGGATTTGTAATCTTTGACAAGACCGGCCACACTGATAGGAAATGTCTTTGGAATTTACTTTGTTTTCTTCCTAAGCCCCACATATTTAATTCTGTTATATAAATAAGTTAATATCTTGTATTCCAAACCAGCTAATGAATCTTCAAAGTTTATTAAGAATTTTTGTAGTTTTTATCCATTTTCTGAACCATCTAACCGTACTAATTTAATGTTAAAGTTAAATATTTAAAGTTTTGCACTGGGTTTCATTTCTTTTGGCTTAGACATAGTTTGGTTTTCTGTTCTCTGTGTGTTTCATGTTTCTCGGTGGTTGTGGATTGCAGGTGAGCATTGAATATTGTTCTGTTCTAATTCCCAGAATGCCAGTGTGGTCAATGTCTCCTTATGTCTGAGTGCTCACCGACTGCAACACCCCAGCCAGTGCCACACAGGGGTAGAGTTCAATGCCAGCAGCCTGAAAGATAACAGTAAAAACTACGTCATCATTCCTTACCCACAGAGTGGCCTCTGGTTTGTTAGCTTGGTGGCTCAGTGCTTCCACACAGATACCGGCACAGGGTAATTGTCAGCAGGACACATTCATGTCACATTATGCTTTATACATTTGATTTGCTGCTGGACTTTAGGTTTGACTCTCTGGACAGCAAACCTTAAACCCATGGAAGACATATTTAGCAGGACTTGGGGCACGGAGGTATGAAGGGGTACAGGAGTATGAAGGAGTACAGGAGGTATGAAGGAGTACAGGAGGTATGAAGGAGTACAGGAGGTATGAAGGAGTACAGGAGGTATGAAGGAGTACAGGAGTTATGAAGGAGTACAGGAGTTATGAAGGAGTACAGGAGGTATGAAAGAGTACAGGGGGTATAAAGGAGTACAGCAGTTATGAAGGAGTACAGGAGGTATGAAGGAGTACAGGAGTATGAAGGAGTACAGGAGTTATGAAGGAGTACAGGAGGTATGAAAGAGTACAGGGGGTATAAAGGAGTACAGCAGTTATGAAGGAGTACAGGAGGTATGAAGGAGTACAGGAGTTATGAAGGAGTACAGGAGTTATGAAGGAGTACAGGAGGTATGAAGGAGTACAGGAGTTATGAAGGAGTACAGGAGACAGGGGAGTAATGTGTGCATCTCGGGTGGATGAAAATGCACCTAGTGCTCAAGCAGGGAATGTACTTTAGTAATTCTCGAGAATCGGAGAGAGAGAGTAGAACAGAGTCGGAGATAAAAAGTTGAACAGAGTGCTAGGAGATTGTCTTACTGTGCAGAAGCGTAGGGTCAGGTATTGTGAAGTAAGTAGTCATTCTACATGAGGCAGTGAGTGTTTCTCATTGGTGGCTGGTCACTGTAGAATTTCTCGGCATTGACTGACTTGCGGCTGTGTTGCAGAAGTTTCCAGTCCGTCAAGTAATGGACGTGCCTGGTAATGTGTTAGATTAATCTCTGTCCAGCTGGTTGAAAGGAATGAAGTGTGTTCAGTCTTACTACTAGCCCGGAGCAGAGTGTTGGTCAGCGACTGTAGGCACGGGAGCGGCTACAACTCGGGAGTGAGGATCAACAGTGAGTGGGGCGGTGAGTTGTGGAGCGCTGCTAGAAACTGCTATGAGAAGGGAGAGCATAAGGTGTAGCTATTGTTAACATTATGTTCACATAAAGGCTTGTTTTGTAATTCATCATTTTGTGTGAGCATGTTGGTGGACATGCTCATGTTGTGAATAAACACTTGTGACGGTGAGCTGCTGTTGCGTTCTTCAGGACTGTGTGTCACAGTGTGAACGAGAATCAACCCTTTGACACCTGATATGTGTGCTAGATACTTCCACCCCAATTAACACACAACAGAAGTATTTTAAAAAAAGGGGGTGGGAACCTCAGGCAGTTTTGAAATTGATTTGCACTTGTAATAATCTATTATACTAACATTTGTTTTCAGTTTAATTATAAATAAAGTATTTTGTAAAACTATAAATAAAACCACAACAAAGCAAGGAGATTATATTATTGGACACTTTGATTAACTTGGATGTTTTTATCCACATTCTTGTTAATAGTGCTTGGTGTTTGTTTCTGTTTTCTTCCTCTCTTTAATCACTTTTTTTGTTTGTTCATTCAGTATTGGTATAGATAAGCTGTTTCTTGACTTTGATATTTATGTTTGGGTGTCTTAATAATGGTGTCGGTGTATGAGTACACTGGCTCATTGGCGTCTTGTTTACATTTCCCGCTCTATTCTCCCATCTTCAAAGAAGATACTTCCTAGATATTTAAATTCTTTAATTTGCTTGGCTTCCTTTTAATTTCCTCCATAATTCTTAAGCAGTATCACTTGAACAAATAAATTCTTAAATGGTTTGCTTTACCTGAGGTAAGATCATCCTTGTTTGAAGATGTTGGGGTTAAAGACACACACTAAAACACAGTGAATCAGCGAACAATGTTTACTCCGCCATCTTGGTAACCAATAAATTATAGGTTAGTATTAATGCGATATTGTGGCAAAACCCCAATGACTGTACACTCAGAAAAGCAGGATGCCAAGGATGTAATTTTTTCTGAAGCACAGACGCCTGCGCTGGTTCGGATGTGTCTCCCCCATGGAGGATGGTTGCATTCCAAAGGAACTCCTGAATGGTGATTTGGAAACAGGGAGAAAGTCTTCAAGAAGCTTAGGCTGTGTTATAGGGACATTTGTAATTGTGACCAGAAAGATGTCAACATTGACCTGGGAGAGATCAGCTGCAGCCAGGCTCCTATGGACGAAGACAGTGAAAGACAGACTGTCGTACTTTGCAACTGGCCAATAGAGCAAGCAATCTGTTGAGAGGAGGCTTCTGAGACATAACCAGCCACACAGTAATAATATTGTTATTTGTGTGTGGACCAAATGGCAGAGGCTGCCACTCCCACTCAGGTCTTTATAGATATTTCAGATGCTGTTTCTAAAACAACAGCTCCACACAAATTTCCCTGTGATAGTTTCCTACAATAATAATGAGTGTTACTGCCCTTTGTCTCTCTTATTAAACCCTGATAACTGTTTTTTTTTTTTGTTTGTGAGAAATCCTTTACACGTAAATTGTCATGAGTTTTGTTGTTTCATGTATTGTTTATTCAGTAAAGAGGTACTTCAGCCGTGCAAATCCCCAATAACTGCCAACGTGACCATTCGTCTGTCTCCATGTATTGATGGTGGCTGTTTAAAACGTGGCGTGTGCAAACTGTTCATGGAGTCGGATCTTTTATTCTCTGCATGTAACTGCTTCTCTGGTAAGTTCCGTGCATATTATAGATGATTTTCAATATTTTTTTGAATACACATGTATACACATTCAGGAAGTCTTTGATCCTAATGAGGTGATACATGTACAGGAAGTCTTTGATCTTAATGAGGTGATACACATACAGGAAGTCTTTGATCTTAATGAGGTGATACACATACAGGAAGTCTTTGATCTTAATGAAGTGATACACATACAGGAAGTCTTTGATTTTAATGAGGTGATACACATACAGGAAGTCTCTGATCTTAATGAGGTGATACATGTACAGGAAGTCTTTGATTTTAATGAGGTGATACACATACAGGAAGTCTTTGATCTTAATGAAGTGATACACATACAGGAAGTCTTTGATCTTAATGAGGTGATACACATACAGGAAGTCTCTGATCTCAATGAGGTGATACACATACAGGAAGTCTTTGATCTTAATGAGGTGATACACATACAGGAAGTCTCTGATCTTAATGAGGTGATACATGTACAGGAAGTCTTTGATCTTAATGAGGTGATACACATACAGGAAGTCTTTGATCTTAATGAGGTGATACACATACAGGAAGTCTCTGATCTTAATGAGGTGATACACATACAGGAAGTCTCTGATGTCAATGAGGTGATACACATACAGGAAGTCTTTGATCTTAATGAGGTGATACACATACAGGAAGTCTTTGATCTTAATGAGGTGATACACATACAGGAAGTCTTTGATCTTAATGAGGTGATACACATACAGGAAGTCTTTGATGAGGTGATACACATACAGGAAGTCTTTGATGAGGTGATACACATACAGGAAGTCTCTGATCTCAATGAGGTGATACACATACAGGAAGTCTCTGATCTCAATGAGGTGATACACATACAGGAAGTCTTTGATCTCAATGAGGTGATACACATACAGGAAGTCTCTGATCTCAATGAGGTGATACACATACAGGAAGTCTTTGATCTTCTGATCTTTGAATGAGGTGATACACATACAGAAGTCTTTGATGATGAGGTGATACACATACAGGAAGTCTCTGATCTTAATGAGGCGATACACATACAGGAAGTCTTTGATCTTAATGAGGTGATACACATACAGGAAGTCTCTGATATTAATGAGGTGATACACATACAGGAAGTCTCTGATGTCAATGAGGTGATACACATACAGGAAGTCTCTGATCTCAATGAGGTGATACACATACATAAGTCTCTGATCTTAATGAGGTGATACACATACAGGAAGTCTTTGATCTTAATGAGGTGATACATGTACAGGAAGTCTCTGATCTTAATGAGGTGATACACATACAGGAAGTCTTTGATCTTAATGAGGTGATACACATACAGGAAGTCTCTGATCTTAATGAGGTGATACACATACAGGAAGTCTCTGATCTGAGGTGATACAATGAGGTGATACACATACAGGAAGTCTTTGATCTCGATGAGGTGATACACATACAGGAAGTCTTTGATCTCGATGAGGTGATACACATACAGGAAGTCTTTGATCTTAATGAGGTGATACACATACAGGAAGTCTCTGATCTCAATGAGGTGATACACATACAGGAAGTCTCTGATCTTAATGAGGTGATACACATACAGGAAGTCTTTGATCTCGATGAGGTGATACACATACAGGAAGTCTTTGATCTCGATGAGGTGATACACATACAGGAAGTCTTTGATCTCAATGAGGTGATACACATACAGGAAGTCTTTGATCTTAATGAGGATGATCTCTGAATGAGGTGATACACATTCAGGAAGTCTTTGATCTCAATGAGGTGATACACATACAGGAAGTCTTTGATCTTAATGAGGTGATACACATTCAGGAAGTCTTTGATCTCAATGAGGTGATACACATACAGGAAGTCTCTGATCTCAATGAGGTGATACACATACATAAGTCTCTGATCTTAATGAGGTGATACACATACAGGAAGTCTTTGATCTTAATGAGGTGATACACATACAGGAAGTCTCTGATGTCAATGAGGTGATACACATACAGGAAGTCTCTGATGTCAATGAGGTGATACACATACATAAGTCTCTGATCTCAATGAGGTGATACACATACAGGAAGTCTCTGATCTCAATGAGGTGATACACATACAGGAAGTCTCTGATGTCAATGAGGTGATACACATACAGGAAGTCTCTGATGTCAATGAGGTGATACACATACATAAGTCTCTGATGTCAATGAGGTGATACACATACAGGAAGTCTCTGATGTCAATGAGGTGATACACATACAGGAAGTCTCTGATGTCAATGAGGTGATACACATACAGGAAGTCTCTGATGTCAATGAGGTGATACACATACAGGAAGTCTCTGATCTCAATGAGGTGATACATGTACAGGAAGTCTCTGATCTCAATGAGGTGATACACATACAGGAAGTCTCTGATGTCAATGAGGTGATACACATACAGGAAGTCTCTGATCTCAATGAGGTGATACACATACAGGAAGTCTCTGATCTCAATGAGGTGATACACATACAGGAAGTCTTTGATCTTAATGAGGTGATACACATACAGGAAGTCTTTGATCTTAATGAGGTGATACACATACAGGAAGTCTCTGATCTCAATGAGGTGATACACATACAGGAAGTCTCTGATCTCAATGAGGTGATACACATACAGGAAGTCTCTGATCTCAATGAGGTGATACACATACAGGAAGTCTTTGATGTTAATGAGGTGATACATGTACAGGAAGTCTTTGATCTTAATGAGGTGATACACATACAGGAAGTCTCTGATCTCAATGAGGTGATACACATACAGGAAGTCTTTGATCTTAATGAGGTGATACACATTCAGGAAGTCTTTGATCTTAATGAGGTGATACACATTCAGGAAGTCTTTGATCTTAATGAGGTGATACACATACAGGAAGTCTTTGATCTTAATGAGGTGATACACATACAGGAAGTCTTTGATCTTAATGAGGTGATACACATACAGGAAGTCTTTGATCTTAATGAGGTGATACACATACAGGAAGTCTTTGATCTTAATGAGGTGATACACATACAGGAAGTCTTTGATCTTAATGAGGTGATACACATACAGGAAGTCTTTGATCTTTAATGAGGTGATACACATACAGGAAGTCTTTGATCTTAATGAGGTGATACACATACAGGAAGTCTTTGATCTCAATGAGGTGATACACATACAGGAAGTCTCTGATCCAATGAGGTGATACAGGACAGTCTTTGATCTTAATGAGGTGATACACATACAGGAAGTCTCTGATCTCAATGAGGTGATACACATACAGGAAGTCTTCTCTGATCTAATGAGGTGATACATGTACAGGAAGTCTTTGATCTTAATGAGGTGATACACATACAGGAAGTCTCTGATCTCAATGAGGTGATACACATACAGGAAGTCTTTGATCTTAAGGTGAGGTGATACACATACAGGAAGTCTTTGATCTTAATGAGGTGATACACATACAGGAAGTCTTTGATCTTAATGAGGTGATACATGTACAGGAAGAAGTCTCTGATCTTAATGAGGTGATACACATACAGGAAGTCTTTGATCTTAATGAGGTGATACACATACAGGAAGTCTTTGATCTTAATGAGGTGATACACATACAGGAAGTCTTTGATCTTAATGAGGTGATACACATACAGGAAGTCTTTGATCTTAATGAGGTGATACACATACAGGAAGTCTTTGATCTTAATGAGGTGATACACATACAGGAAGTCTTTGATCTTAATGAGGTGATACACATACAGGAAGTCTTTGATCTTAATGAGGTGATACACATACAGGAAGTCCCCTGATCTTAATGAGGTTCTTTGATGATCTTAATGTGATACACATACAGGAAGTCTTTGATCTTAATGAAGTGATACACATACAGGAAGTCTTTGATCTTAATGAGGTGATACACATACAGGAAGTCTTTGATCCTAATGAGGTGATACATGTACAGGAAGTCTTTGATCTTAATGAGGTGATACACATACAGGAAGTCTTTGATCTTAATGAGGTGATACACATTCAGGAAGTCTCTGATGTCAATGAGGTGATACATGTACAGGAAGTCTTTGATCTTAATGAGGTGATACACATACAGGAAGTCTTTGATCTTAATGAGGTGATACACATTCAGGAAGTCTCTGATCTCAATGAGGTGATACATGTACAGGAAGTCTCTGATGTCAATGAGGTGATACATGTACAGGAAGTCTTTGATCTTAATGAGGTGATACACATACAGGAAGTCTTTGATCTTAATGAGGTGATACACATACAGGAAGTCTTTGATCTTAATGAGGTGATACACATACAGGAAGTCTTTGATCTTAATGAGGTGATACACATTCAGGAAGTCTCTAATCTTAATGAGGTGATACACATTCAGGAAGTCTCTGATCCTAATGAGATTATACACATTCAGGAAGTCTCTAATCTTAATGAGGTGATACACATTCAGGAAGTCTCTGATCTTAATGAGGTGATACACATTCAGGAAGTCTTTGATCTTAATGAGGTGATGCACATTCAGGAAGTCTCTGATCTTAATGAGGTGAAACAGGGTGGCTGCATGATCTCGAGGTGTGGTGTCTGCCTCGAGTGCATGATCAACATGATGTTGATCCGTTGTTCAAAATGCCAACTTCAATGAGGTGATACATGCTTTGTACAGCCTCCGCAGTGGAGGTTGGCTGCTAACTACAGGAATATTATGTAGTGAAGTCTAAATCTTGTCCACAGTGTGACTCTCATACCATTTTCTGACATCCATGAGAACATTTGTTTTCTCCTCACTGTGGGAACCAGACCTTGGTCTTCGCCTTGCGTTTGCTTTTTGATTTACACTGACAGACAAGTTCTTATGATAAAATTGACTGTTTTTAGGAGTTCCCTTTTAGCTCTATACAGCTTTGAGTGCAGTGTTCACTCACTGGGCCGGTATTCTCTTCTTATTGAGCTGTACAAGGGACATTGTTGCAGGACATGTTCTGTAGTCTACACACACAGCCCACAAAGGCACAAAGGTGAACTACTTGGACAAAGCCTGTGCATATGCATGTTAAGTTTATGTCCTGTCCTGAGGTGTAGAATAATGACCTGCCCATGCCGGTCTAGTAAGTGGTAGTCATCTCTGGCCATACTCTGTTCACGTCTGATAGACTGAATAGCCCCTTTCTTCTCATAGTGTATTGCTACATTCTCTTCCTATTCAGATTCTGCCCTTTTCTTAGCAAGTTTATCTGCAGTTTTGTTTCCTGGTATACCACAGTGGATGGCACTCACTGGTGTACAGTACACTTTTGGGCAGCCACCTTGTCAAGTTCAGATCTCAGGTGAGGGAGTTTTACCACTCTTGAGGGCTTGAAGCACGGTTAGAGCATCTGTGAAGAGCAGCCTGATCTAGTGCTACGATGTGTGCTGTGTAGTTGGAATAGAATTTACCAGTGGGTATATATTTGTGGCGATGGTTATCTGGGTATGTGATAACACACCCATTTTTAACTGGTTGCTAATCCATCTGTATAAGCGTGTTTCCACGACTGTTTGGGATAGTTTTCGTGAATCATGCTAAGAGCAGCTGCTAGTTTTTCAAGATCATTGGACTCATCTCCAGCTGTGAGTCCTTTGACTGAAGTCATAATTTGTATTTTGTCGCTGACTTGCTCCCAAGGTACAGGGTATAGGGTAGGTTTCAGCAGTGTTGTTCTCATGGGTAGATCTGCTTGATTCTGTCTTAGAAGTCTTTTCCCCTGAGACCCTGAAGATTGCATTGGGAAATGCCACAGGGCTAAACTCTCACATCTGTATTTGCTTTAAAGTATAACAGTGGGCTGCAGCTCACCTAGGGGACTTAACCTCCAACACAGCTTTATCTAATATTTTAAGTTATGGCCCTTGCCGGACACACATTTTTCTGGCAAGTATTCATGTCCTGTGTTTACACGTGTGTCAGAGCTTCAGATGCCCAGATATAAGATTTCTCTCAGAGATATACTTCAGTTAAATGTGTAATCGTCACATTGTCTATTCATATAATGTGCTGATGAAGGCTTTCTAACCACAGTGTTCACTTGTCGTTTGTAATGATGATCATGTGAAGCTTACTAGTTCTACTTTTAATTTGGTTTGATTTGTTTCATGATAAATAAGAACTTCTGTGTTCAAGCTGCTGCTATAGAGTTTGTGCACTACGCTGAGACTCTATCAGTTATATTACTCACAGTCGACCTCCATACAGATTGGGCATTCCCATGCCTGCTCAGTCCTCAGATGCAGCAGCTCCTCCAGTGTACCTCTACTGTTTGTTCTCATTAGGAGCTGGTTATAATGTCTCTTATCTCGGCCTTGAAGGTGGCATAGATGTGCTTCACCATGATTGACTCCCATGTCACACAATCATGTTAACTTCAGAGATTTGTCATTATCAGTTAACCTACTCGGGAAATTCCCATAAGTGCTCCATATCTGTCTTCAACAACCAGTGCAGAGTTGTATTTCTGATGGTAGCAGTGTTATCTGTAGGTGGCGACAGAGCACTTATGGAAGCATCTGTTTGCTGAGAAATTGATCCTTCACACAAAAAACTAAATCAAATAATATTGCCTGTCTAATGTTGCAGGTTGGCGAGGTTACGGCTGTAATGATGGAAGTCAAGCTGATGATGCTACACTAGAGATTATTGGTGTTTACCTACTGACGCTATCAAATTTGTGCTTTATACCGGGTATTGTCCTGGCCATACGTCGCCGGTTTTATGTGGAGGCTCTTGTGTATAGCTACAACATGTTTTTCTCAACAGTAAGTGTTTTTTGTGTGTGGGTCCATTTATGATAGTTGTTGATCGTATCAACAGCAACACCGTCAACAACTTGAGAATACTGTAAACCAAGAAGAAGAAAAACATTGGCATTGTATTCAATAGTTTGATGTAGAGAAGAGAATCCTGTTGCTGTTAATGCAGAGGTCAACGCTCTCATCGGTGAAAATTCAGATGAAGCAGATGCAATAATCTATACAGACGGATCCATTATACGCCAAAGAAGAAGCGCATGGGCATTTACAGCACGCTCAGCGGGCAGAACAGTCAAAGAAGCCAACGGCGCCTTCTCCATGACAACCAGCAGCATGACGATGGAGGTGATGGCAGTGACGCAAGCGCTTGCCTGGCTTGAAACACAAAAATACACCTGCGAGTGTATACTCAGTGATTCAGTGAGTATGATCCGGAGGGTTCAGGCAGGTTCAGTGCGAAGACAATGGCTTGAATCATTACAGAAGTCCACTGTGCTTGGAGTCACCTTTATTTTTGTTCCCGGATACGCAGGCGTCGATGGAAATGAAAGAGCTGACAGGTTGGGTGGATCCGCTATCACTACCGACAGTCAGCCTATGGATCATGCTGATATTATCAATGCCCTCAGAGAAATGGGAAGGATAGAGGACTTTGGTGGCAGTGAGTCCACATCACTCGCCAGAATGGCAGACTTGGGAATTAATATCGGCACAGCAAAAAACGAGACGCACACCAGATACGCCAGAAGACTTGTTAATCAACATAGAACTGGTCCTAGGACCAGGGGTTCATACTGAGGGGAGGATCTGAGCACCTATGGACATGTCCGGAGTGCAATGAGGATAACCCAACCAACCAACTAACCAACTAACTAACTAACTAACCAACCAACTAAGTATGATACCCTCTACTGATAAAAAGAGTCATGAGGATGTCTTGAAAAAAAAAACTGACTCACGAAGAGAACCAGTTGTCCACATCAGAAAGAGACAGTCTGCATTCTTTAGTCATGTGATGAGAAGGATACAAGTGGAGTACATCGTGACAGTAGGAAAGTTGGAGGGAAGGAGAGGCAGAGGGAGACCGAGAGATTAGATGCTTGACTTCATGGCATGGAGGACCATCTGTGTCAGAGTTGACTGAAAGTACATGAGACAGAAGGTTGTGGATAGACAGGACTATCAACACTGTGACACAGTTGTGTCTTTCACATCCCCCAAGAAATAGATGTGCCTAATTCGGCCAGTGTGTTATGGATACAGTTCATAGCTCTCTTGAATCGTACTCAACAACACGGCCAGTGATGTAACAAACTATTACAGATCTCTTTGTTTATTTGCACAATGTTGTAAGTCAAACAGTATGAATCATTTCATTTATACATGGTATAACATTCTAGTATCTTATTGTTGTCTGTTCATATATCTCTCGATAAGTTCTTCAATCCCTGTTCTAGCTAAACTCCAAGTTTAACATATCTTCTCACTAATGTTTTCTCAACTCCTCTCTTCAGTGGCTCGCTACTAACTGTCCCCACTGCTCTCTCAAGCCGCTCGCCCTCATTGTCTCTCTCTCTCTTCCTCGTCCTCCTTCCCACACTTTGTCTCTCTCCGCGTGGGTTCACAATCACCCCTCTCACCCTTCATCAACCATGATATCATCTTCAGTTGGACACATGCATCGCGTTGCTCTCGGGCACTCGTCAACCTCCTATTCTCTCGTGCATCTTTTGGGTCTCCTGGTACGTTTTCATCCTTCACTGTCAGATGTCAGTTTGACCCTAATAACCGCACTCAATTCAACACTGGTCACCGTGCAGATGTTTTATCTGTATCGCTGGTTGGGCCAGCTTTCTAATCACCCATTTCTGTCATGCCACCCGGTGATGGATTGGCATGCCTTGATGCTGGTCTGAAATGTGTGCCTTCTTCATTTAACCACTTCCTAACTATATTTCATTACAACACCACACGGCATTGAATTAAAGAAGATGTTGTTAGTATGCTGTACATTTATCAGTTTGTGGTTATCTTGTATGTCCCCTCTGATTGATTGTTCAGTTTATAGTTATGTTGTATACTTTCTCCGGTTCTCTGTTCAGGTTGTTGTTGTTGTTTTTTTTTTTTTTCAACTCTTCCCCTCTCTCTGGTTTCTTGTTCATTGTGTGAATGCTGCAATGGTTTGTGTCTGTTTGTGATTGCTGTTGATGTGTAACTAAGAGACATAATTTACCTACAACTCCCATGTTGACCCAACCTAAAATTGATACCACGAAGTGTGCTGAGAAGTCAAGGAAGTCAGCTAATGCTGGCACATCACCCTTCAAGTGCCAGTAAGTCTTTACAAATGTGTCTAGCACAAATGACTAGTGCACCAGTGATGTCAACAAGGCTCTTCACTTTACTTTTTTTTTACCTGTTGTATGTAATCTGTGCCTAGAAAAACCACAACAACCACAAAAATGCTGGGGTTGGTTCTGCAACGTCCTGTAAAGAATACGCAACTAACTTATATATAATGTAATCTGTTATGTCGTTGTATCATTGTTATGTTTGTATATACTGATGAAGGTTTTCTAGCCACAACATTCATATTGTCTTTAGTGACTGTTCTCTGTTAGAAAGCTGACTTGTTCTGTTGACAGTGTTCATTTAAAACTGACGTGTGCCACACTACTTAAGTGTGTGCATTGAACATGTTCCTGTCATAGTCATGGGGTAAGTACTGACTAATGGATAAAAGAGCACATGTTTATCGTCCCATGATGCTTAGGTTCTGATTCTCACCATTGAGAAAATGGCCAAGTTGGTCTTAAAGAAACTCAAAGAGCAGTGATGAAGGATCATGACCAGTGGACATTCATCGAAGTATGCAGGCATTATTCGGTACCAAATGTGTTTAGAAGGCGTTAGTCACAGACTGCGCACGGATGTTTCAGCTAGGACGTGAATTCATGACAGATCTTCCACAGCTGGGTCAAGCCCATACTGTTGCAGCAGAAAAAACTGTCGCCAAAATTATTGCAGCAATACAGATGAACTGTTGTCGAAGCATGTGTTCGCTAGGGACAGAATTTCATGCGCCAGTTAGGACAGTTCAGAAGGTTGTTCATAAGAAACTGCAGTATCAGAAGGTGTGCTCACAATGGGTATCACATATAGAACGCTGTAAACACTTGGTCCATTGAGCTACTAGTCCTTTTGTTTTGCAGACATCATTCACTACCTACCTAGGCATTGAGATTCTTGTCTGAATACCTGTTGCAGCTTTTTTCTGACCAACCCATGGTGCATAACTCATTCAGAATGAATGCTTTGTTTAACTATACTGCACCTGTTTTTTTTCTTTCATGCATGTCTGATAACACCATTGGAATGGGCTTCAAATTTTCCTTATTGTTTCTCATTTGGTTATTTCTGCTTTCACCTCTAACCATCTTTCCTATGCTGGCTTATGGATGTAAGTCATATGCTGTCACTCAGTCCTGGAAGAACAAATCCGAGTCAGGCAAGCCATGATTGACGATGATGTGCCCGTAAGCACGAACACTACTTTGACAATTTTTGTTTCTGTTTCAGTTTTATCATGCTTGCGATAGCAGTGAGATCTATCAGCTGTGCATCTTGCCGTACAACGCCCTTAGCTTTGCTGACTTCTTTGCTTCCCTGCTGTCCTTCTGGGTGACGCTGATGGTCATGGCTCGCATCAGCCAGGGCTTGAGGTCTTTCCTGCACATGCTGAGTGCTCTGTTTATCTCCCTGGGGGAGGTCTACAACCGACACGGACTCATGGAGCAGCTGATGCCTATAGCTGCCGGTGTGTTCATTCTCTTAGTGTCCTGGGTAGGTATTGTAGAACATTGCAACCAGACGGTTGAGAACATGTACTGATTAGCTATTCAAAACTATTGTAATCAGACGGTTTAGAACATGTACTGATTAGGTTTTCAAAACTATTGTAATCAGACGGTTTAGAACATGTACTGATTAGCTATTCTAAACTATTGTAATCAGACGGTTGAGAACATGTACTGATTAGGTATTCTAAACTATTGTAACCAGACGGTTGAGAACATGTACTGATTAGGTTTTCAAAACTTTTGTAACCAGACGGTTTAGAACATGTACTGATTAGGTTTTACAAACTATTGTAACCAGACGGTTGAGAACATGTACTGATTAGGTTTTCAAAACTATTGCAACCAGACGGTTGAGAACATGTACTGATTAGCTATTCTAAACTATTGTAACCAGACGGTTGAGAACATGTACTGATTAGCTATTCTAAACTATTGTAACCAGACGGTTGAGAACATGTACTGATTAGCTATTCTAAACTATTGTAATCAGACGGTTGAGAACATGTACTGATTAGCTATTCTAAACTATTGTAATCAGACGGTTGAGAACATGTACTGATTAGCTATTCTAAACTATTGTAACCAGACGGTTTAGAACATGTACTGATTAGGTTTTACAAACTATTGTAATCAGGTGGTTTAGAACATGTACTGATTAGGTTTTACAAACTATTGTAATCAGACGGTTTAGAACATATACTGATTCGGTTTTCCAAACTATTGTAATCAGGCGGATTAGAACATATACTGATTCGGTTTTCCAAACTATTGTAATCAGGCGGATTAGAACATGTACTGATTCGGTTTTCCAAACTATTGTAATCAGGCGGATTAGAACATGTACTGATTAGCTATTCTAAACTATTGTAACCAGACGGTTTAGAACTATAGAGCATTTAACAGGTAAAAATTAAGGAGCCTTTTCCCAAGCTTTCAGGCGTATTTGGCACATAGTGCTAGACCTGTATTCTGTAGACCAGTTGGTACTCAGTGGGTGATGTTGTCAACATCACACCAGCCGCCTTTACTTTCCTGGACTTTACCTGGAACCCATTTAAGTCTAGGTTGACCTGGGAACCAAGGTCGTTTTTGAAAAGTCTTGCTCCATTCGGGTTTGAATCCATTACCTTTGGATTTGCAGGCAAGGGCTTAGCTGCTACACTGTGATGTCTCTCATAGAACATGTCCTGTGTATATGCAGTATGATCTGATGGTTTAGAACAGGGCTATTCAACTGGTGGCCCGCGAACCAAATCTGGCCCTCAGAGGTCTGGCAAGTGGCACCGGGATCATTGCCAGTTGTATTATCTTTTATTGCTGGAACTTGGTCCTCTGGCCTGCAATGATCACAGTCTCCTATACTGTGACCTCTGAGTAAACATAGTTTTTATAACATTCAATTTGCCTGTAATTGTGTAGTTATGTTCCTAGATAATTAGGGGAATAGGACTAGAACTAACTGACGCTGAAGAAAATCCTCTTTTCACGAATGTTTATTCTATTTGTGCCAGCTGACTTTGCTATTGTTGTACCCTTCGTGTGAGGTACACATTAGACATATCCCTCATCATTTGACTCTATAAATGACTGAAACATGTCTAATTCGCAATGTTATCTATCTAGCTTCGGATAAATCTAAAAAAAAAAAATGTACTTTATTTAAATTTGGGGCTTCTAAAGCCGTAAATCATTTTGGCATGCATGTAGAATACTGATGGTGGCCATTTTCTTTTCGAACAAACAATTAGTAACTCGACAAACCTCGCAAATATACTCTATTTTTGGCTTTCAAACCACATTTGTAAATGAGCACGACTGATATCAGATACAAAGAACTCGAAAGGAAGTTGAAACTGAGCTGTCCGCTTTTTATTACGGGTCAGTGGTAGATTAAAAATCTTCACTTGTCACGCGCCGATTGGGCCTCCCGGTTGTAACAAATTAGCACGTGATGTGTTTCCTGGGACTCAAAGTTTAAAAAAAACTTTTTTTTTTAAACACACGTGAAATATTTTTACCACCTTAAAGACAGGACACTTTTATAAAAGTCACGCTAAAGGAAAAGGTTCCATACAAATAAATAGTAGGTTGACTTTAATGTAAATAGAAAGATAAACATCCAGAGACATATGAATAGCACTCTTTCAGAGTATACAACCATGGTGAGAGGCAATGATTGTTGGAGAATTCAAAAGCCAACCTTTACTGTGGAGATGGCACTCGATTGATTGACTGACTGATTACTTCACAGCCTTTTTCAAAATTACCATGGAGGTTTCCATTGATTGTCCTGCATGATGTACTCTCTCTATTCTACAGGCGTTGGAATCCTATAAAAGAAGAACTGTGTTCCCCTCAAAACAACGTCTGCTGTGGTATATCTTGCCTGGGCTGGTCCTTGCTGGCGCAGGTCTGATCGTCAGCCTTGCCTTTCAGACAGACAGCAACTACAAATACACACACAGTACCTGGCATGTTTTGGTGTCCTTCTCTATAGCATTTCTGCTGCCACCTGGCAGGAAACAACCAGGTATGTCTCTTTGGTTGCTGCTGCTGTTTCTGCGTGTGTATTTCTATGTGTTTGCATGTGTATGCACTTCTGCGTGTTTGTCTCTGTGGCTGCAATATTTGCGCCTGTCTGCCCGTTTCATCTGACAGTGTGTGTGTGTGTGTTTGACTGGCGTGTGTGTCTTGTGGCTTATGTCGTGTGTCATTGCATGTCTCATTGCTATGTGTGTCACCTTGTGTTGTAGTGTGTCAGTGTGTGACCACGACCACCCCATCCCTGGGTGTTGTCCTGTGTGCAGCCATATAAAGTGTCTGTGTGTGTGTCTCAAGAGAAGGCAGGGTGTGTCTCTGTGGGACATCCTGCCTTCCACTGACGTGTCTCCATAAATGCAAAGCCAATATCTTTGTTTGTATGTTTGTATGGCTGTATTATATATGTATGAATGTATGTATGTATTTCACTGTAATGTTTGTATCTTTGTATGTCTACTTGTGTGTATGTATTGTGTGTGTGTGTGAGTATGTGTTTGTTTGTTGTATTTGTGTATGTATTATGCCTGTATGTGTGTATGTATGCAAATTGCTGATTATGTGTGTGTACTTGGAGTCTGGAGCGTGTGTATATGGGTGTTGTATTTCGTTATTTTTTTAGGCATGCAAATGCAACTCATGCTTTGTGTTCTTTTATAATATTCATATTATGCATTGCATCATATGACTCATAACTGTCTTTATTAGTATAAATACAATTGCTGTGTGAAAGATGGTCACTGGGTGTAGGCCGAATGTCACCGGGCCTGCGTGCCCAATTTGTCACCTGGTTTGTCACACTCACCTGGTGTGGTCACGTTGTTCGTTGGTCTCGTTCATCACTGTCACGTTAAGTGTGTTGTGCCCGTTTACAGCATGGCTGCAATATTTGCGCCTTTCGCCCGACACATCAGACAGCTGCAGGCATTTGTTGACTGGGTTAGCCTTCCGGATTAGTTTCGTGGGACATTGCAGTCTCATTGCTGGGTGGTCACCTTTGTTTCCTAGTTCACAGGTGGTGACCCCACCACCCCATCCCAGTGGGCTGTAGAGCAACCCTGTAACCTGGTCAGCCCTCAAGAGAAGGCAGGGGCAGAACATAAAGATCCTGCCTTCCACTGAGGCTTCCATAAATGCAGAGCCAATATCTTTGTTTGATGTTTTCTCAGGTCGTTGGTCTCATAAACAGATATATTTCACTATAATAATTTACGTATGTGTCTACATGTGTGTAGGTTTGTTTGTGTTGAGTATGTTGCTGTTGTATTTGTTCATATTGTTAACCCCATTATATCAAATTGCTGACTTATGTATAGACTTGGAGTCTGGAGGTTTATATGAGTTGATTTCGTTATTTCATAAGCAAGCAAATGCACTCATTCTGTGCACATTTCTAAACTCTCGTTATTGGGTTTGCAGAATATGGACTCTGACTGTCTGTCTCATGATAAAGGCTTGCCTAAACACTGTCACCGGGTGTAGGTCACACTGTCACCTGGTGTAGTCACACTGTCACCCGGTGTAGTCACACTGTCACCTAGTGTAGTCACACTGTCACCTAGTGTAGTCACACTGTCACCTAGTGTAGTCACACTGTCACCTGATGTAGCCACTGTCACCTGGTGTAGTCACACTGTCACCTGGTGTAGTCACACTGTCACCTGGTGTAGTCACACTGTCGCCTTGTGTAGTCACACTGTCACCTGGTGTAGTCACACTGTCACCTAGTGTAGTCACACTGTCACCTGGTGTAGTCACACTGTCGCCTAGTGTAGTCACACTGTCACCTGATGTAGCCACATTGTCACCTGGTGTGGTCACATTGTCACTTGGTGTGGCCACACTGTCACCTGGTGTAGTCACACTGTCACCTGGTGTAGCCACACTGTCACCTGGTGTGGTCACATTGTCACCTGGTGTAGCCACACTGTCACCTGGTGTAGCCACACTGTCACCTGGTGTAGTCACACTGTCACCTGATGTAGCCACACTGGACCTGGTGTAGCCACACTGTCACCTGGTGTAGTCACACTGTCACCTGGTGCAGTCACACTGTCACCTGGTGTAGTCACACTGTCACCTGGTGTAGCCACACTGTCACCTGGTGTAGCCACACTGTCACCAGGTGTAGTCACACTGTCACCAGGTGTAGTCACACTGTCACCTGGTGTAGTCACACTGTCACCTGGTGTAGTCACACTGTCACCTGGTGTAGTCACACTGTCACCTGGTGTAGCCACACTGTCACCTGGTGTGGTCACACTGTCACCTGGTGTAGTCACACTGTCACCAGGTATTAGTCACACTGTCACCTGGTTTGTTGTCACACGGGGAGGTGGATCAGTATAGTACACTGTCACAGAATCCTGTAGCCACACTGTTTGTTGTGTACATGGGAGGTGGATCAGTATAGTAACTAGCACAGAATCCTTGGTATTTCTGTTTGTTGTGTGACATGGGAGGTGGATCAGTATAGTAACTAGCACAGAATCCTTGGTATTTCTGTTTGTTGTGTGCATGGGAGGTGGATCAGTATAGTAACTAGCACAGAATCCTTGGTATTTCTGTTTGTTGTGTGCATGTGTTTGTTGAGCTGGTGTTTAAACCTCTAGTCAATTTGTGAACCCAGGATAACATTCACAGGGAGGGTTTTCTCTCTAGCTTTCTTTTCTACACACAGCGATGCATATTATCTCATCATCAGAATAATCAGTCCCAAGATCATTGTTAAGTAAAATGATCGTTTTGTATGTGTGTGCGCAGGCAGGCGTGTGTGTGTTTAAATGCACACACACACACAAATCCACAATCTTCAGGAAATTTTGGAAACACTTTGCTTTATCAAGCTTCTTCTTCTTCTTCTTTGTGGCCTACACTGGCTATAAACTCTAGCAGAAAGTTCTAGTTTTTTCTCCACTTCTGGATTTTATCTTTGGTCTTGTTCTGAAGATGTCAGCTCTGTGGCTAAGTCAGTGCAAACGCTTCGTAATGCCGGGGTGCAGGGTTCAATCCAAGCTGCGGGCCATGTGTCTTGTGTTGGTTTCGACAGTGGTATCAGGGGCCGACTGTCCAGAAGAAATGGCAAACTAATGGACGTAAATTTGCCTAGAGAAACGACACAACAGCCAGGGGTTGCTGGTGTTGGTTCTGCAACGTCCTGTAAAGGATACGCAACTAACCTTATGAAGTCGGATCTGTGGCTAAGTCGATAGGAATGCTTCATAAAGCTGGGATGCCGGGTTTGATTCCGGCTGCAGGCCATGCGCCTTGCGTAGGTTTTGACAGTGGTATCAAAAAAGCTGACCGTTCAGGAAGCAGTGGCAAACTACTGGACATAAATTTGCCTAGAATAGGACTAGAACTAACTGACACTGAAGAAAATCCTCTTTTCACGAATGGCTGCTGGGGTTGGTTCTGCAACGTCCTGTAAAGGATACGCAACAAACTTTTGACCTTATTCTAAGGAGAATGGCGCTGCAAAGAGTTACCAGGGGATCTGGCCGACGCTCAACACTCAGGAGACAGAAATACAATCAGACAGTTACTGGTGCCATCGTAATTGGAACTCTTCTCTTGCTGCTGGAGATGCCGACTGAGCACTTATGGGAGTGTACTGTGAAGTCGATTCTTGATTCAACATTCCAGAACTGGTTTTTTTGTTTGTGTATGTTGTGTGTACATCCATTTTACCAATCTGGATATTTTAATGCAGACTGTTGGTTCCCCAACAAACACCCCTGCCCCTTTTACCTCCAAATAAAGACTGGGAGCCCACACAGGGAGGTATAAAGAATAATTATGAATTCATTTAGGAGAAACACTGAACCAGTGACCAGCACACATGGATGCAGCCTGGTGGTCATCAGTTTGAATCCCATATCAGTCAGACCTTTTAACCTTTTAAATTGAAATGGGCTCGCAGGTACTAGGGAAATATCTTGGTGTGTAGAGGTGTGGTGATGAGGGGTGTAGGGGTGTGGTGATGAGGGGTGTACAGGTGTGGTGATGAGGGGTGTACAGGTGTGGTGATGAGGGGTGTAGAGGTGTGGTGATGAGGGGTGTAGAGGTGTGGTGATGAGGGGTGTAAGGGTTGGGTGATGTTTGTGTGTAGAGGTGGTGGATGATGAGGGGTGTAGAGGTGTGTGTGATGAGGGGTTGTTGTGCTGGGAAGGGGTGTAGAGGTGTGGTGATGAGGGGTGTAGAGGTGTGGTGTGACATGGGTGTTGGGGTGTGGTGATGAGGGGTGTAGAGTGTGGGTGATGAGGGGTGTAGTTGTGTGGTGATGAGGGGTGTAGAGGTGTGGTGATGAGGGGTGTAGAGGTGTGGTGATGAGGGGTGTAGAGGTGTAGTGATGAGGGGTGTAGAGGTGTGGTGATGAGCGGTGTAGAAGTGTGATCAGAGGGGTGTAGAGGTGTGGTGATGAGGGGTGTAGTGATGAGGGGTGTAGAGGTGTGGTGATGAGCGGTGTAGAGGTGTGATCAGAGGGGTGTAGAGGTGTGGTGATGAGCAGTGTAGAGGTGTGGTGATGAGGGGTGTAGAGGTGTGATGATGAGTGGTGTAGAGGTGTGGTGATGAGGGGTGTACAAATGTGGTGATGAGGGGTGTAAAGGTGTGATGAGAGGAGTGTAGATGTGTAATGATGAGCGGTCTAGAGGTGTGGTGATGAGCGGTGTAGAGGTGTGGTGATGAGGGGTGTAGAGGTGTGGTGATGAGTGGTGTAGAGGTGTGGTGATGAGTGGTGTAGAGGTGTGGTGATGAGTGGTGTAGAGGTGTGGTGATGAGTTGTGTGTGAGGTGTAGTGTGGTGATGAGGGGTGTAGAGGTGTGGTGATGAGCGGTGTAGAGGTGTGGTGATGAGGGGTGTAGAGGTGTGGTGATGATGGGGTGTAGAGGTGTGGTGATGAGCGGTGTAGAGGTGTGTGAGGGTTTGTGGTGATGATGAGGGGTGTAGAGGTGGTGATGAGGGGTGTAGAGGTGTGGTGATGAGGGGTGTAGAGGTGTGGTGATGAGGAGTGTAGAGGTGTGGTGATGAGGGGTGTAGAGGTGTGGTGATGAGTGGTGTAGAGGTGTGGTGATGAGTGGTGTAGAGGTGTGGTGATGAGGGGTGTAGAGGTGTGGTGATGAGCGGTGTAGAGGTGTGGTGATGAGCGGTGTAGAGGTGTGGTGATGAGCGGTGTAGAGGTGTGGTGATGAGCGGTGTAGAGGTGTGGTGATGAGGAGTGTAGAGGTGTGGTGATGAGCGGTGTAGAGGTGTGGTGATGAGGAGTGTAGAGGTGTGGTGATGAGGGGTGTAGAGGTGTGGTGATGAGGGGTGTAGAGGTGTGGTGATGAGCGGTGTAGAGGTGTGGTGATGAGGAGTGTAGAGGTGTGGTGATGAGCGGTGTAGAGGTGTGGTGATGAGGGGTGTAGAGGTGTGGTGATGAGGGGTGTAGAGGTGTGGTGATGAGGGGTGTAGAGGTGTGGTGATGAGGGGTGTAGAGGTGTGGTGATGAGGGGTGTAGAGGTGTGGTGATGAGGGGTGTAGAGGTGTGGTGATGAGCGGTGTAGAGGTGTGGTGATGAGGGTGTAGAGGTGTGGTGATGAGGGGTGTAGAGGTGTGGTGATGAGAAGTGTAGAGGTGTGTGATGAGAGGGTGTGAGGTGATGAGAGGGGTGTAGAGGTGTGGTGATGAGGGGTGTAGAGGTGTGGTGATGAGGGGTGTAGAGAGGGGTGTAGAGGTGTTGTGTTGAGGGGTGTAGAGGTGTGGTGATGAGGGGTGTAGAGGTGTGGTGATGAGGGGTGTAGAGGTGTGGTGGTGTAGAGGTGTGAGAGGGTGGTAGAGGTGTGTAGAGGTGTGGTGATGAGGGGTGTAGAGGTGTGGTGATGAGGGGGTGTAGAGGTGTGGTGATGAGGGGTGTAGAGGTGTGGTGATGAGGGGTGTAGAGGTGTGTGATGAGGGGTGTAGAGGGTGGTGAGGGGTGTAGAGTGTGGTGATGAGGGGTGTAGAGAGGTGTGGTGATGAGGGGTGTAGAGGTGTGGTGATGAGGGGTGTAGAGGTGTGGTGATGAGGGGTGTAGAGGTGTGGTGATGAGGGGTGTAGAGGTGTGGTGATGAGCGGTGTAGAGGTGTGGTGATGAGGGGTGTAGAGGTGTGGTGATGAGCGGGTAGAGGTAGAGGTGTGGTGATGAGCGGTGTAGAGGTGTGGTGATGAGCGGTGTAGAGGTGTGGTGATGAGCGGTGTAGAGGTGTGGTGATGAGGGGTGTAGAGGTGTGGTGATGAGGGGTGTAGAGGTGTGATCAGAGGGGTGTAGAGGTGTGGTGATGAGGGGTGTAGAGGTGTGGTGATGAGGGTGTAGAGGGGTGTAGAGGGTGTGAGGTGTGATCAGAGGGGTGTAGAGGTGTGGTGATGGGGTGAGAGGTGTGTGGTCAGTGTAGGGGTGATAGAGGTGTGAGGTGTGATGAGAGGGGTGTAGAGGTGTGGTGATGAGGGGTGTAGAGGTGTGGTGATGAGGGGTGTAGAGGTGTGGTGATGAGGGGTGTAGAGGTGTGATCAGAGCGGTGTAGAGGTGTGGTGATGAGGGGTGTAGAGGTGTGATCAGAGGGGTGTAGAGGTGTGGTGATGAGGGGTGTAGAGGTGTGGTGATGAGGGGTGTAGAGGTGTGGTGATGAGGGGTGTAGAGGTGTGGTGATGAGGGGTGTAGAGGTGTGGTGAGAGAGGTAGTGTGGTGTGAGAGGGTGTAGAGGTGTGATCAGAGGGTGTAGAGGTGTGATGAGAGGGTGTAGAGGTGTGTAGAGGGGTGTGGTGTGAGGATGTGGGTGAGGTGTGGTGATGAGGGGTGTAGAGGTGTGGTGATGAGGAGAGGTGTAGAGGTGTGTGGAGGTGTGATGAGGGGTGTAGAGGTGTGGTGATGGTGTAGAGGTGAGGGGTGTAGAGGTGTGGTCAGAAGGGTGTAGGGTGTGATGAGGGGTGTAGAGGTGTGGTGATGAGGGGTGTAGAGGTGTGGTGATGAGGGGTGTAGAGGTGTGGTGATGAGGAGTGTTGAGGTGTGGTGATGAGGAGTGTAGAGGTGTGATGAGGAGGTGTGAGGGTGGTGATGATGAGTGTAGAGGTGTGGTGATGAGGGGTGTAGAGGTGTGGTTATGAGGGGTATAGAGGTGTGATGAGGGGTGATGAGGGGTGTAGAGGTGTGGTGATGAGGGGTGTAGAGGTGTGGTGATGAGGAGTGTTGAGGTGTGGTGATGAGGAGTGTAGAGGTGTGGTGATGAGGGGTCTAGAGGTGTTGTTATGACTGCGTCACCAACCTGGTTCTGGTTAGTCTGTCAATATGTAGGGCTGGCACTATATATCTAATAATCTTCTAAGTGTTGACATGGGTCCATAATATTTCGTATACTTACTGCGTTATTGCAGATTTTGAAGCCAGTTTGTTGGAACACTTGCTTTCAGATTCACCTGCCAGTTTATCGGTACAGTCAGGGGACATAACAAGACAGTCCGTTGTGGGAAGTCAGGAGTTTAATGCAAGCATACTTCATGCCCATGATGCTGGTACCCCTGACGGAGCCTTAGAACCCTCGTCTCCTCCTGCAACACCCAGAAACAGCCGGGAAGTGGGACTCATGCTGCTTAACCGCAGCCACTCAAGGGGAAGTCAGAATTTAGTTTTATAACAGTTAGTTCCCAGTTAGTTTTTAAAAATTGCTGTAATATTATTTAAAACTCTGTTTCTATGTTAATTCAGTTGATCTATGGAATTCAAGCCCTATACTTATAGTAAATTTTTGCTACAATATTGGTACCTGGCATATGTTAGAAACATTGGAGTTTTAAGGACACCTGTTCTAGGTAATTTGTGTGTGTGGTTGCAGCCATTTTTGTCAAAGAAAATCAGATTGTCATCCTTCAGTTCTGGATATTTGGCTAATCTGCTGATTGCAGTTCCAACTTAACAACAAACAAATCATCCCATAATTGCTCCGTTCCAGTCAAAACCACAAAGAATGCCTATCACTGTTCATTGTGAGAAAAAAAATAGTCAGGCTGCAGTCTTGACAAAGCAGAAGCATGCACATACATTTAATGCATAAGGCAGCTGTCAAGTTGGATCAGATGTGATTGGTTAGATCAATCTCTGTTAACTCTTTTGGCACCAAGAAATGTAAGACAGGTTGATTGATAACCAGTTATTAACTGTCGTCTTGTGGTAAAGGAGTTAAAATGAAGGCAGGGGGATTATAACTGTCTGACAGACATCACTTGACTTTTGATTGTTGTATGAGACTATTTAAAAATCTTTTCTTTTTCTTCTTCTTCATGTTCACCTGCTGTAAACTCTGGCAGAAAGTTCTGGCTGTTCATCCACTTCTGGACTGCAGTCCTGTTCCAGAACCTGAGTGTTGCATGTGCATCCGTTTTACAGATCTTACTCATTTGTATGCAGACAGCTGGTTCCTCGTATCTCAGGCAGATGCACTCTGACTTTGAAAGAAGCTCCCAGTTAGTAGACTCTTATGACATGGGTAGGCAGTGGGTCTATTCTTGTTTTCCCTATAATAGGGCCTCGGAACCCACACGGGGAACTATTGGAAAATGTAGTGGGTTGTCAAGGTGGCTGTTTTGAAATTGACTACATTAGTCATTGAGCGCCTGTTGGTCTGTTGTTCTTGTTGTTCTTTTTTTTTGCCCTTAAATTGTGGTCTGCATGTTGTGTGGTTGTTTACAGCTAGGCTGTGATATCTGCTCCTTCTTATTCAACAATTTCTGGGTTTCAGCAAACTCCTAATTACTCATCTTTGACGATATGCTTGATAAGGGACAGTCAGTGTTCTTGTTTCTTCCAAAATGGGGCCATGGGGCTCACACGAAGGCAGTAGGTCTGTCCATTTCTTTCAAAATGGCACCCCGAAACCAACATGGTGGGTCTTTTAAAATATGGGGCAAGCATCATATACCTCAGTTTGGAAATGAATGCTTGACCTTTGACTTTCACCTCCTTGGTCAACATTTTTCCAAACTGGCCTGGCTGAGCTCTCAGCGACCGTGTTCTTTCAGTGTTCACAGTCAGTACCACAGGTGTTCACAGTCAGTGCCACAGGTGTTCACAGTCAGTGCCACAGGTGTTCACAGTCAGTGCCACAAGTGTTCACAGTCAGTGCCACAGGTGTTCACAGTCACTGTCACAGGTGTTCACAGTCAGTGTCACAAGTGTTCACAGTCAGTGTCACAGGTGTTCACAGTCAGTGTCACAAGTGTTCACAGTCAGTGCCACAGGTGTTCACAATCAGTGTCACAGGTGTTCATAGTGTCACAGGTGTTCACAGTCAGTGTCACAAGTGTTCACAGTCAGTGTCACAAGTGTTCACAGTCAGTGTCACAAGTGTTCACAGTCAGTGCCACAGGTGTTCACAGTCAGTGTCACAGGTGTTCACAGTCAGTGTCACAAGTGTTCACAGTCAGTGTCACAGGTGTTCACAGTCAGTGTCACAAGTGTTCACAGTCAGTGCAACAGGTGTTCACAATCAGTGTCACAGGTGTTCATAGTCAGTGTCACAGGTGTTCATAGTCAGTGCCACAGGTGTTCAGTCAGTGTCACAGGTGTTTATAGTCAGTTGGCACAGGTATTCACAGTCAGTGGCACAGGTGTTCACTGTCAGTTGGCACAGGTATTCACAGTCAGTGGCACAGGTGTTCACAGTCAGTGCCACATGTGTTCACAGTCCGTGTCACAGGTGTTCACTGTTCATTGTTTATAGTACAGGCTAGAACAGCTGCCACACAGGGTTTAGACCAAAATGTTTGAATCCTTTGTCCTGACTGAGGGACCACCATTCTGACCAAAGCTGCAAGCTGATTGTATAACTAAAGTACTGTACCATATGGAAAACTATATGAACCAAACTTTAGTGGTCTCATCTGAGTACTTACTGTGAGTGGTGAAAGAGTGTACAGCCAGACATGGTCATGTTAAAGTAATGCTGCTACTTATGTTACTGATGCACTGTAACTTTAGTTCCAGTTCCCTGCATCAACAGTATTTCCTGTGGCATTCTATCAGCACCAGTCATTACTGTTGAATGTGGGAATGTGTCTCCAGTCATTACTGTTGAATGTGTCTCCAGTCATTACTGTTGAATGTGTCTCCAGTCATTACTGTTGAATGTGTCTCCAGTCATTACTGTTGAATGTGTCTCCAGTCATTACTGTTGAATGTGTCTCCAGTCATTACTGTTGAATGTGTCTCCAGTCATTACTGTTGAATGTGTCTCCAGTCATTACTGTTGAATGTGTCTCCAGTCATTACTGTTGAATGTGGGAATGTGTCTCCAGTCATTACTGTTGAATGTGTCTCCAGTCATTACTGTTGAATGTGTCTCCAGTCATTACTGTTGAATGTGTCTCCAGTCATTACTGTTGAATGTGTCTCAGTCATTACTGTTGAATGTGTCTCCAGTCATTACTGTTGAATGTGTCTCCAGTCATTACTGTTGAATGTGTCTCCAGTCATTACTGTTGAATGTGTCTCCAGTCATTACTGTTGAATGTGTCTCCAGTCATTACTGTTGAATGTGGGAATGTGTCTCCAGTCATTACTGTTGAATGTGTCTCCAGTCATTACTGTTGAATGTGTCTCCAGTCATTACTGTTGAATGTGTCTCCAGTCATTACTGTTGAATGTGTCTCCAGTCATTACTGTTGAATGTGGGAATGTGTCTCCAGTCATTACTGTTGAATGTGTCTCCAGTCATTACTGTTGAATGTGGGAATGTGTCTCCAGTCATTACTGTTGAATGTGTCTCCAGTCATTACTGTTGAATGTGGGAATGTGTCTCCAGTCATTACTGTTGAATGTGTCTCCAGTCATTACTGTTGAATGTGGGAATGTGTCTCCAGTCATTACTGTTGAATGTGTCTCCAGTCATTACTGTTGAATGTGTCTCCAGTCATTACTGTTGAATGTGTCTCCAGTCATTACTGTTGAATGTGTCTCCAGTCATTACTGTTGAATGTGGGAATGTGTCTCCAGTCATTACTGTTGAATGTGTCTCCAGTCATTACTGTTGAATGTGGGAATGTGTCTCCAGTCATTACTGTTGAATGTGTCTCCAGTCATTACTGTTGAATGTGGGAATGTGTCTCCAGTCATTACTGTTGAATGTGTCTCCAGTCATTACTGTTGAATGTGTCTCCAGTCATTACTGTTGAATGTGGGAATGTGTCTCCAGTCATTACTGTTGAATGTGTCTCCAGTCATTACTGTTGAATGTGTCTCCAGTCATTACTGTTGAATGTGTCTCCAGTCATTACTGTTGAATGTGTCTCCAGTCATTACTGTTGAATGTGGGAATGTGTCTCCAGTCATTACTGTTGAATGTGTCTCCAGTCATTACTGTTGAATGTGGGAATGTGTCTCCAGTCATTACTGATGAATGTGTCTCCAGTCATTACTGTTGAATGTGGGAATGTGTCTCCAGTCATTACTGTTGAATGTGGGAATGTGTCTCCAGTCATTACTGTTGAATGTGGGAATGTGTCTCCAGTCATTACTGTTGAATGTGGGAATGTGTCTCCAGTCATTACTGTTGAATGTGGGAATGTGTCTCCAGTCATTACTGTTGAATGTGTGAATGTGTCTCCAGTCATTACTGTTGAATGTGTGAATGTGTCTCCAGTCATTACTGTTGAATGTGTCTCCAGTCATTACTGTTGAATGTGTCTCCAGTCATTACTGTTGAATGTGTCTCCAGTCATTACTGTTGAATGTGTCTCCGGTCATTAATGATAATTTTACCTTTAAGCAATGTAAATACAAGATGACACAAATTGATGATATTTTTATCAGTGCGTATTTAACTTCTTAGCGTTCACAGATTCATGAGAGTTTTAACTGTGGGCGTTTAATGTCACACATTAAAGATAATTTCAGCGTGGGGTATTTAATAGGGCTGTACCGAATAGTGATTTTCACTATTCGGCCGAATACGAATAACGGGACCAACTATTCGGCCGAATACAAATAGTGTATGGTGTATAAAATATATCTAAAAAAAAAAACATGCATTCATAATGTCAAATGTACACTTAACTTTTACTTCACATAAATTAGCACAGAATAGTCATCTTCTTCTTTAGCATTCTGAGCCCTTGAGGTTTACTGCTGCAGATATCACTCGTCTCTATTCATCTCTCTGGCTCGCCTTCTCTTCACTATTTGTGACACCAGTTGTTTGCAGGTCTGGCTGGACATTATCTCTCGAACTTATTTTTTGTCTGCCTCGTGGTCTACGCCCATCCCTCTCTCAGGTCTATACAGTTTTACTTCTCTGTCATCTGACATTCTTTCAATATGCCCCAACCATTTTAGTCTGTTAGCTCTAATGATGCAAGTGATTAATGGTGGTTTAAACAGATTATGTGTTACGTTGTTGCTTTTCACTCTCCATTCTCTGCTGTTAGCATCTTTGATGGGTCAAAAGATTTGTCTTAAGACTGTTTTTGAAAACCTGTAATAAGGCCTCATCTCTTTTATTTCTGCTTCAAGTTTCAGAGCCATATAAAACGACTGGTCTTATAAACGTTTTATATATTTTGATCTTGGTGTTGCGAGACAGACACTTTGACTTTAGCAGATGTTGAAGGGCATGGTAGACTTTATTTCTAGATTGTATTCTAGATTGTATTTCTTCTCTCAGAATGTTGGAGCAGTTGAAGTTTGCACCCAATGCTTATATGTTTCCGTTCGCTTGATTTTCATATTATCGACTTGGATGTGGCTGGAGTATATATATATTCTTTCCATGTCTAGTTAGTATTCGTACAGAATAGTAAACATTTAAAAACATTTTATGTTTTGCATCCTTCAGTCAGTATGTGGTAACTAATAACTAGGAATGAAAGAATCCTAAGTATTAATAACCAGTAACTTAACTTGGAAATTGTCACTGACAGCTTAGTTAATGCATGAAAGCTGCATTAGCTTTCAACAAAACCAATTGTTCCCTGTTGTCAGTATTAGGGCCGTGTATGCAAAAGCGGGTGTAAGGTAACTACTATTCGTATTCGGCCCGACCGCAACTATTCGGCCGAATACCGAATAGTCAATAGGTCCACTATTCGGCCCCGAAGCGAATATTCGGTACAGCCCTAGTATTTAACTCTTTGAGTCCCAAGGAACGCATCATACATTCATAGATTCCTAGCTAGAGACCCAGTGAACGCAAGATGCGCCGATTTTACGTCTCTCTTGACTACCCCTTGGGCCTGTAATGCTAAACCCCCTGGGACTCAAAGAGTTAACAATAGATTATTACAATATAATGATATTTTGCACTGGCATTGCAATGAGAATATCACAGATGATTGATAATGTTAAATTGATAGAATATAATGTCACAGACAATTGATAATTTTAACATTAGTTTTGTAAGTAAAAAAAAAATTTTTTTAATATTTCAGGTATGTAGTCATAATCGTCTACATTTGACATATCATTAAAACAGTTTCTGTCTCTCTGATCTTTTCTGCTTAGTCTTTTTCTATTATTCTTTTTTCCCTTTTTCTCTTGAACTACAGAATGTGAGATGGGCCTGCCTAATTCTTAACCCCTTGGAAATAAAGTGTGTCCATTCTCATAAGACTGTTTCGATTAGGCTCTTTGCTGCAAAGAGAGTTTGTCTGTTGCCTTGTGTCCTTTGCGGTATGGTGGCAGAGTGATTGGTTTGTGTGTCTGCCAAGAGTGGTCTAGTTCAGATCTCTAGCATTGGCAGCATTATTTCTCATCAACTATTACCATCTCTGAGGACCCAGAATCAGCTAGGGTTGACCCAGAATCAGCTACGGTTGACCCAGAACCAGCTAGGGTTGACCCAGAATCAGCTAGGGTTGACCCAGAATCAGCTTGGGTTGAGCCAGAATCAGCTTGGGTTGACCCAGAATCAGCTTGGTTTGACCCAGAATCAGCTAGGGTTGACCCAGAATCAGCTTGGGTTCAGAGCAAGTTTTGGAATTGTTTGGGAAGAAAAACAACAAGGGAGAGAACTCATCATCGCCATCATCATGTGCCCTGCCAGCTGGCATAGGCGCTCATGCATCTCCACAGATCATGATCCCTGGTTGCCTGGAACAGCTCTCTTGATGATATCCCTCCATGCCATTGTTTCAGCCTATCCAACATCATCTCTCTCGAAATACGTTATGATCTAAAACATGAGAAAGTTTAACATTTTACATCCCTGCGATGGTACCTGCTATGGAGTTACCTCTACTTTGAGACTACCATGTGTTTTACAGTTTTATGCTCCTGCCATACTAGGGAAGAATTTAAATATTTTGTGTGTGTGTGGGGGGGGGGGGGGGGTAAAAACTGTTCTTAAGGACAGTCCTTGAGGAAGAAATTATATACAAAAGTCTCACTGTGAAAGAGTTTGGAGCCTCACTACGTAATATTTCCCTAGAACAGCAGTTGTACATTGTACCCAACCTTCACCGTGGCACAGATTGGTTTTAGTTGATAGTACTTAGCTCTAGTAGATGTAGTTAAATAGTCTTTCTATTGTTGTTGCTGACTGACAGTAGGTTGTGTGGCTTGAATTTAAAGGCACATTTTCTTGAAAGATATGATGAATTTGCATTGCATGGTTGTTTATGTGTAAAATCTTTTCAAACTGTGTATTAACCTTTATCTGTATATACATTCAACCACTGTTTTTTTTACATTTTGTTACAAACTTTTATTTCCAAGCTGTGATATTTTTTGCTTTCATTTC